ACGGGCGATTTAAAAAGATAAATACAATAATTTAGGAGAGTATTTGACATATGAAGCTAAAACGTCACAAATATCTTTATAAATATCCACATTTTATGCTGATAAAACACATTCATGTTATTCCTAGTCATGCTGTACCACTATATGGTTAAAGATAAGTCCCTTGGAAGTCGCTCTTCTGAAAAAAAGACAGATTTTGAGCTCAGAACCTGATTAAATAAAGTTACTTAGTGCCTCATGTCTGCCATAGATTTTATAATTAACAAAATCCAGTTTCTTGAGTAGAAAGCTTATAGGTGCTGATGAACTCGGTGTTCCGGTGTGAGGACATCACTCTTTAATACATGATTTAGTGCTGCTGAAGAACAAACAGCCAGTGTCTTTAAGGACAGCTGCTTTTCCAAATGCTGAGGCAAGGCTACGTCTTTATCGCTCCCTCTCCTTCTGAGATCGAGGCAGATATTGTCACATGGCCTTATCTCATCTCTGAAATTGATGACCATTTCATCTGCCGCTTTTTTCATTAGCTGCCGCTTTCAGTAGAAAGGACTGACTTGTGTCCTCAAAGCTCTTTGAAGGACACCGTCGCGTTTAACAAGACATTAACCGAACATTTGCTCACAACTCTGGATTCATCCTCTTCTTCAGAACATAACCTAAATACGAGGGAGACAAAGCAGAATGTTGGAAATCAGCTCATTTAACTTATGTTCTGGGGCGCCGCCTCAGACAAAGCCAAGAAAAGGGTTGCCGTGAGAAAAGAAAGCTGCAAATTCAAGCATTGCATTTTTCATTATTAGAGCTGTAGGGGGAAAAAAAAAAAGACAAAAACGCAGACTCCACAAGCCCATGTCGTGATACAGAAAATGACTTTTATTCTCATGTTAATGTCTCAACATACAAATCACATTCTTTTTAATAAAAGAAAAGTTCAATCAGTACCTGGCATCTAGACTCTTTAAAGACTTTCTCTACAGATGCAACCATGTCTCGTTGCATCCCGCTCTCTAACATAATCTATCTACGCAGAAAAATAGTAACATTACACTTTGCTTCTGTTTATTCTTTTAGCCCAATAGTCAAACTTGTGGACCAATTTTCATTTGAAAAACTGTGCAAGAATAGATCCCTTTTTTTCTTCTTTTTTCTTTTAATAATTCAAATAAGAAGTGATCCTTTTTTTCTAATTAAGAATAAAAGGCCATCAATGAAATGTAAGGAACTGATGTGATGCATAAAAAAATGTGAATTAGTTACAGTAGAAACTATATAGTACCTATTCAGAGTCTGCTGGAAACCTAGGAACAGTTACGTGTTTTAAGGTTCACAGATAAACAAGTGCAAAACAGAAATAAAAAGGATAAAGTTGCCTTAGTGGATTTTGGCACAATTAGATACAGGATATGGTTTTTTTTTTTTTTTTTTTCGAGGAAGGGCAGAATATTTTTGTCAATATTTTTTGCCTCCTGAATAAAAAATACACTTAAATAACAATGAAAAGTCACTAACATTTAAATGGATCAGAGGAAAATCCTTTTAAAGATATTACCCTGCGAACTTTGCTTCATAGTGTCTCTTTTAACGAGTACATCGATAAGTGACTGACAACCAACCACGGAAAAGAACAAAACAAAAATAAATTCTTTTTAAAAAACATGCTAATACCTGCTAAGACATGACTTGACCGTCAGACGTTCCTAGGTATATGACCTAGTGAAAATACATGTAATATATATTTATATATATATATTTGTTTTTTTTTCTGATGTATCTGCATACTGTATATGGTATACTCTATATTGTTGTTAAATATATGTTAAAGAGATAGAATGATAGTTACACAGTGGTCTGTCTAGCCCTGGAGTGCATTCTGAGGAGTTAACCCGTTGGCCGCCACTTCGGCCCGCCCATCCGAACCTCACCATTGTCATGCGCTCTTGCTCTGTGCTGGTCTCAAATCGGCCCCTAAATCATCTAGTCCACGACGGGTGAAATGATATACGTCGGATCCGGAAGAAAAGAAAAAAAAAACCTTCGAAAATCCTCCTGGCTAAGTGATCAAGGGCTGGTTTCAGATCAGGCTTCTTCTCCGAAGGCACTTCCGAAAGGCCCATTGAACTGTCCAACAAGTCCGGCTACTACAGAAACATAATGCATAGAGCAAACATCGATGTGTTTTGAGTTTTCATGGCCGTCACTGCTGGCAGTCGGGTTCAGTTGAAACCACAGCTACATACTTCAAGAGGTTTTGATGCTGTTTTTCGCGCTTCTGCGATGAAACACCACGAGGAATGTGATGTCTGATCCCGGCATTCCATTTCTATAGCATCCCGATCCACGCTAAACAACTGTGATTCAGCTCAGTTGAAATTGTCATTACAATTGTGAACAACAGTCTCAGTGTTGTTTTCTCACTCTCGCTCACACACACGCACACACGAAAAAAAATACAATTAGTTGTCAGTCATCATCAAATGGGTGCATAATTGTAGGGGAAACCACAAATGTCATTTGGTACACGGCCGGGTCGGGGGTGGCTGAACTTCATTAGTGTTGAGGTTTGTGTACATGGGAGGAGGGACACGCATTCAAGCAAATATTGAACACCGATAGTCAGACTTGTCTTTTGACTGTAAACGGACGCTTACAATGCAGCATTACAAACACACCACCAGAAACCCTTAGGGAAGACTCAATGAACTTTAACGTCAATATCCAGTGCTACTAACCTGCTCCGGAGTACATCAGAAATAAAAGGAGGCTCTGATTATAAATCATAACAAAGACAAAATAAAAAATATCAATAATTTACACAACTAGCTCACTGTAGTGTACCTATTGGTATAGTGTGAAAGGGTTAATTAGTGTTTTGGGGAATGGAGATGAGAGCCGCAGCTTGCTGTAGTGGCAGCCAGTCTCCTCTAGGGGCAGCCGAGTGGAGTCCACAGGACTTTACTTTGTTCTTGATCAACTATAGTTATGATCTGAGTGCAAATGTACGGGAGGGTGCCGCCTTGGACAATACCTGGAAAGAGAAGGTGACTCGTTGAAAGGGAACATTGATCACAATGTAAAGATAAAGCTTTACTTTTGTGCTGTCACTACTGAACGGGCATATTATCTGTAGTATGTAAGATGATTTGACTGAATACGAACCTGTGAAGAATTTGCTGTACTCTTGCTCTATCTTCTGTGCACTTTCAAATTGCTCCTTGGAATGTTTTTGAGATACTTTGTCCCGCAGATAAACCGGATCTTTCTGCTCCCTGCAGGGGAAAAAAGGGAGACAGTTATTTAGATTAGTATGAATCCTACACCAGTGGTCGTTTATCTTTGACTCTGTCCAGTTAAGCTTTCATTCATTCATTCTAAAACTTAAGAGAATAGCTGATCTGCTCAAATTTATAATTCCATTTATTTTCCCAGTGAGGGAATTGAGACAAATCGGTTCTAAATATTGAGGCTGCAAGGTGGGCCAGTGGTTAGCATTGTTGCCTCGCAGCAAGAAGGTCGCCGGTTCGCGTCCCAGTGGGGGCACCGGGATGTTTCTGCGTGGAGTTTGCATGTTCTCCCCGTGCCGCGTGGGTTCTCTCTGGGTTCTCCGGCTTCCTCCCACAAGGTCCAAAAACATGTTGAGGTTAATTGGTGATTCTAAATTGTCCGTAGGTGTGAATGTGAGTGTGCTTGGTTGTCTGTCTCTAAGTGTAGCCCTGTGATAGACTGGTGACCTGTCCAGGGTGTCCCCTGCCTTCACCCTAAGTCAGCTGGGATAGACTCCAGCCCCCCCACCACCCTGGTGAGGATTACGCGGTGTATAGATAATGGATGGATAGTTCTAAATATCATTCACAAATTAGACAAATTATATTTATAGTGTGTTTGGTACTGAAGTACATACAGATGTCAGATGAATCCTTCCAAACATCTACAGATACCAAGTGAAGTAGGATATAGCAATGAGTCTCTTTTTTTCTTTAAAGAAGGAAAAACAGGCGTGTTTCACCAGCTGTCAGGGATTATGCAAGTGTCTGTGTTGGAGTTGGGTGCTTTGACGGACGTTCCAAAGGGTTCATGGTAGGATGTAGTGTGATGCTATTTATCCTTCTCTGTCCATTCATCAGCCACAAACAGACAAGTCAACGACGCCACAGCACCAGGACAACCCCATCGTCATTCTGCTCTAATTTGTAAACGATAAGCAGGTTGCTACTTACTTGATCTGCTTGGCGTTTTTGTAGCGGATGAAGACGACAATTGGATAAATGTGAACGCTGTGGAGCCTTTCGATGGCGTGCGGGGCGATGTCGAGCAAACAGTGACAGCCCTGTATCCAAAAAAAAAACAAAACAAAAAACCAGAGCATAACTTCAACAGATGTTCCAAACCACTTAATAACAATTAACATTTGTTTTTACAGGCAGCTATCTTGCTTTTTATTCACCGATATCTGAGACTAAGGAGCTGCGACAGCGATAGCTTATCTTGAGCAAATGCAGAGATTAAAGACGGACAGAAGCCACTCCATCCTCCCCGATAAAATCTGACGAGAAACAAAAGCGCTGACTAATACCTTATCTGTTATTTCCTTTATGGAAGCAACAGTGGTCACGTCAAAATGTCCACTCCTGCGCTTGTAGTCGATGAAGAGGCAGTCTTTAACGCCCCGCTCGATGGCTTGCTGGGATGCCTTCATCACCTCTGTAGACATAACAGAAAGAGTGTAAGAGTAAAGAAAACTGCCAAAGGAACAAATGTAGCCTGCAAGAATTTGGTGTTGTACATTTTTGGGAATGATTTTTGGCCATTTGAGGTAATCTACCAATTTATTGTGAACAATTTTGTGGTATATTTATGCTGCTATGGGAGTGTTTACTTGTCTTTTACTTTTCTAATGTCAGTATCATACCAAAAAATCTTATAGTAAAACGATGTTTAGTGTTCATGCCTGCTTATAGCAAAACCTGTTGGTTGGTTTTGAAAGTATGTTGTCTTAAAGAAAAAACTGTAAAACAAATAAAACAAAAAAGACAAAAATAGTTGGATTTTCAACTGTCCCAGGGTTCCTGAACCAATCATCTGTGACGAGCTGTTCTGTCAGGACACTTAAATACAAGCTTAAAATCAGGATATTTCATCAGAATCAGTTTATTCTACATTCCACATTTTCCTTTTGTTGGTTATCCCAACATTTAATGCAACAAACAATATTTTCTGGTTAGCTTCAACCTTACTAACAAGCACCTCGATTTCAATTCAGTTCCTCTTTTTCGCCTTTTTTGTCATGATGATGACGATGACAGATGAGGAAAAAATGAATCTTCACTTGATTTATAAAGAGGCATGTTGTTGCCGTGTATGGCTATTTGGAGGCGTTTCTGGTGACTTACTGATGTGCGTACGATGTTTGATAAATACAGATCTTTTTGTACTTGCACACCCTAAATTTCATTCATATGACAGAATTTAGAACCTTTTCTACGCACTGATGATAAATAAGGTCCATAGACTTTTGGTCTTAACTGGGCTGAACTGCAGGCTGTGTTTACACCGAGCAAATAGGAGACAAGTGTGGAAACAATTTAAAAATGTATATTATCTTTAGTATGTAGAGTCATTATCTTTGAAATTATTTTGCAAACATCATGTGAAATAAGTAATCAATGACATGGAAATGTAGGTTTTGTTTTTTTTTCTTCATTTTTTATGATGTATGGCATTACAACTTTGTCATTCTGCACAAAGGACATTTCTGAGTTCACTCCTCTTCTAGTCATGGTTGTCTCATTTCCATAAAGGTGCAAAACTATATGTTGCGGTGAAAAATGAGCCCACAGTGAGTAAAAATGTGACAGAATCAGCTTTGGGGTTCACAGGTTTAAGATGGCTTCTCTTCATCGCCAACCATTTGCTTTGTAAAGGTCTACTCCAGCACAAAGACTCACCCAGTACACATCTGCAGAACTTCCCAGGAGACTCTTTCACCAGCATCTCCTTGACGGGGTCAGTGAGCGGCCCAAGGATGAGTACCGGTCGGGGAGAGGTGCACTCCACCTTCTGGACCCGCTGGTACGCCAGGCTCACACAGTCTGGAAAAAAACAACACACAGCTCAACGGTCAAGCTGCCATTTTGGTGCTTCCTGCTATTTTTACATCCAGAACATCAACACTTTTCTTCTCACCGTCAAAGAAGGGGATGGAGTCTGTGCTGATGGTGTCCAGAGCCACCATCTCTTTGCTGTCTTTGGAGCTGCTGCGTTTGTGTTTCTGTTTCCTTCTGAAAAAGGATCTGCGTGCTGCTGCAGAGAGAGTCTTACTTGAGTCTTCCTTCATTTCTGTCACACTGTGTCTGCGGTAGAACTCTTGGTCCATCCTGCATCACATACACACACACAAAAATGAAAATTTCATCTCAAGAGTTTCCAAACAGGGATAAGGCTATGTGCATCTGTGTAATGAGGTTTGGTTATGGTCTCTTAGAACTAGTTCTTAAGACTTTCAGTTCACCCACATCAGAGATAAAATGTGTTTATAGTCATTTTGAGCGGCCACGCTGGAAGGCAGAGTGTAAAGCTCATCATCATAGTGATGAAAGGAGATGCAATATCGTTTAAAAGCTGAAGATTATTTTGCGGATGTAAAGACACAATCTGTTGCGCTAAGGACGGAGCAATGTATTTCTGTGGGTCAAGGTTAGTTTTAGCAAAAAACTTTAGCTTTATTATTGACTTCCGACTGTACCGTAGGAGTTCTTTTACAAAAATGATTGACTTTCATATTCAGATTTTACTGCTGCTGGCTACTGGTCTTTCAGAGCCAGAATAAATACAAAAGCGTAGAAATTCTATTCAGGAACATCAGTTCATGTCTTCAGAGACACGGTAAAGCAATCGCATTACAAGTAAAACAGGACAGTCTAACTCTAACTGAACAGAAGTGACTTCACGATATGGTTCCTGCATCGTAGCAGTGTGGCATAGATTGTTATCACAGCTGTTACAAACTGTCCACTAGCTCAAAAAAAAACAAAAAAAACATGCATGTGTGTAAGCGTGCATTGCATTCTCCACCCACATGTACTTGCTGGGGATCTGCCCCCTCTGGATCTGCTGTGCGTTCTCATCTAGCTGCCAGGCCATCCAGGTCCCAAAGCTGCCCTTTGGTAAAGACTCATCCACGTACAGGATGTCATCCTTCTTAAAACTGAGGTCCCCCTCGGCCTCCCCCACCCGGTCGTAAAGTGCTCTGGTGGGAGGGAGAGACAAAGATAGATGGCGAGTTATGAAGAGCGGAGCAGAACGAAGGAGCATAAAGTTGATAAAGTGAAAGAGGAGGTGAGGTATCAGACGAGATAGGTGTGAGGAGAACAAGATAAAGAATCAGCGAGATACAAGAAAGGCTAAGAAAGGAAGTGTAGAGAGTTTATCTATGGACAGTATAGGCCTCGCTCGCCTCCTTTTGGAGCCTCGTAAGTCATTACGGAGCAGCCTATCTGTGACAGCCAGGCAAGCCGAGTGTATTTACTGCAGATGACATCACGAGCCCACTTGCCTATATGACAAGTGACTGCGGCAGCTGCGGCAACACGCCCCGACAGACTCCCAACAATAAAACGTGACTATTTTAGAGCTTAATTTTTCCGTTCATATGCGGCGTATTTGTAATGACCTGGAGAACACCGACAGCCAAAAAGGATGCAGTGTTGTATCTGGTGTGTAATGAGTAGAGAGATTAGATAACCTAAATTTGTGGTGTGATTAGCATCACTGCAGTCACACAGTGGATCTGGGACATAATTGGTTAGATGAGAAAGAGTCCAGCTTGTCCAAAGGGGCTCTCTTGTGATGGTTCTATATATAGCAGGATGGAGAGAGAGATGAGGCTGCTTGGGGAAAAAAGAAAAATTAGCGCAGTCCTTTTACAGAGCTGTTAAATTCCGACAATGATCTATAAGTGTAATAGATGTATTTATACGCATACCGAATATAAAAGCCATCTCCTGGAACATCTTTCACCATGCTGAAGTCATCCGGTCGATGCTGCACCTTTAACGTGACCGTCTCCGCAGGCTTCAGCATCTCAACATACACCTCTTCTGCCGTCTTATTCTTCATATTCACCGAGTTGTACTGAAAGAAAAGAGGAGACGAGGATAAAAGGAAAAAAAGAAAAAAAAAAAAAAAAAAAACAGGAGGCAAGTGAAGTTCACATCAGAGAAAATGAGACAAACTCGGGGTGAGGAGGAGAGAGATTTGATGAGTGTTTACACGCAACTGTGAAATAATTTTCTCTGCCTGTGAAGGGTCCGCTAGTAAACAGCTACATTTCCTCCAAGCTTTCAGCCGTATTAAAGTGTCGCAGTATTGATTTGTGCCATGTATGGGGGAAGAAAACAAACAGGATGGGAGATTGAAGGACAGACAGAAGCTGTGCAGCCTGATGACAAAGCTGCATGGCAATTCGGATAGCAGGCTCTTTGTGGCGGAGAGATAAAGTGGGAGCATGCCAAGAATTGTCTATTATGAGTTTGTGGTGCTCTGGATAAATTACCAACGTGGAGTGAGCGAGAACGCAGACGATGAGGAGATCAATGAAAAGCAATGACAGGCAGGAAGAAAGGAATGCCAGCACCTTCTGGCAATGTTCGAGTCTGAAGCAACGGCGGCGCACAGAGCCTTTAAAGACGCAGGCGACTGAGAACATCGAGTTTAACTTTGAGATCGTTTTAAACTGTTTAACGAATTCACAACGCCATGTACATGAAACTCTCACTTTGAAAGCTCCGTCTTTCCAGTTACTGATATGATTGAATAAAAACACGTCATGTCCTCGAAAAACACTCCAAAAATCTCCGAAATCATTTTATGTTGGGTGGTTGCTGAATTGTTTGTGTATTATATCAAAGGGTTCACATATATATTTTGAAATTTAAAGGGAGCAGGTTGTTCGTGTCTATGCATGTTAGTTAGAACAGGTACAGTCGTCCTCAAATGTATTCACACCCTTCCATTAAAGAAAAGGCAAAATTCACAATAGTCACTCAAATAAGTAGAAACTGAAAAAAGTAATAATAAATAAAAAAAAATTGCTAAATTAGAATTTAGTGAAATAAGACATTGCTTTTGAACTGTGGTTGAAAAAAATAATTAAGAAAAAAAAAAACTGTCCCGGACAAATTAGAGCACTTTGCTGATGAGCATTGGGCCAGAACACCTGTCAACAGGTGCAGAAGTCTGATTGAGAGTTACAGAAAACATTTGATTGCAGTGATTGGCTCAAAGGGTTGTTCAACAAAACATTAGTTTACAGGTCCCATCATGATTGTTTTTTTGGGTTTTTTAAAAATATTTTTGTTGAACCACAATTCAAAAGCAATGTCATGATTTTCACAAAATTTTTATTCATTACTACTTTTGTCAATTTCAACTTATTTCAGTGACAGTTGCTTTTTTCCTTCTTTAATGGGAGGGTATGAATAAATTTGAGGACGACAGTATACATGAATCCATACACAATTTCCCTGAGGTACCTTACCAAAGGGATCAATAAAGTTTATCTAATCTAATCTAATCCAATCTAATCTAATCCAATCTAATCTAATACCTCTAAGATAAGATCCCCAGCAAGAAGTCCATCAGGGCCTCTGGCAGGACTGTCCTCATCCAGACTCTCTATGTAGACCCCCCGCAGGTTTCCTCCGCAGAGTGTGACCCCCACTTCCACGCCAGGTCTGCGCACCATCACCAGCCGTGGCTCAGCAACCTTCCTGCTGCCTTCAGACGGCATTCTGGAGGAACACAAGAGTTACACAGGTCATCGAGTGTAATGGTGTGAATGGAGCAAGCATTTTTGTTATACACAATCTATTGCTATGTAGAGAAGCTTTTATCCTTTTATCAACCATGCTTACCTGCTGAAGTTGTGAGGGCTGGTAGTGGGCGTGGTCTGCTTGGAGGATGGAGTGAGCGTGCCCTCGTCCTGCTCGCTGAGCGTGTCGATGGCGGAGTGATTGTCGGGAGTCGCGGCTCCGCTGCCCTGGGGAGTGGACTGAGCGCTGACCGGCTCGAGACGGGAGCTGCAGCGAAAAATAGGAACTCCATTGATAAAATCACTTTACATGAGGCGCATGTTTAACCTACTTTACAAATGGCACCTGAGCGCGTCAAAGAGCTAAATTACTCATACCTAATAATAGTTTAGCTGGAAAGTAACACAGGGAGCTGTCCGTTATAAGCACCTTGATCATTTAAAGTGCTTTAGGAAGAGGCCGACAAAAAAGATCATAGAAAAATAAATCACAAAAATTAAAGGTGGAGTGCATCAAAACAGATCAGCTAAAAGAACACAAAGTCAATGTAGAGTACAATAGATCAACTAAAAAAGAAATACACCTGAATAAAGTTGGGTTCAAGTCTAGATCTGAGGCTGGCTAAAGTTGGAGCACTTTCGATGTCATTAGGAAATTGATTCCACAGCTGAGCAGCATAACAACGAAAAATTGCTTCACTGTGTTTTGCTCTGAAAGTAGACATTATTAATAAATTTCTCTCCAGTGATCCGAGAGGCCCAGCAGGTGTGTATCGCTGAAGCGTGTCTGAGAGGTATTTTGGTCCTGCCCCATCAGTGATTTATAGACGAGCAGCGGTGCTTTAAAGTTAATTCTGTAACTCACTGGAAGCCAGAATTAAGTATCGGAGCGATGAGGTCAATTCTTTGGTTTTTGCAAGAACTTTAGCAGCTGCATTTTGCACGAACTGAAATTAATGAATCTCTTTAGTAAGAAAAACATCACAGTGGAGCCTGCTTGAAATAGAAGCATGAATGAGTTCTTCAAAATCCTGTTTTGGGAGATGGTAAAAAACTGACTTAGTTATTGATTTCACGTGATTGTTCAAAGTGACATTGCTAATAATTAGGACACAGAGACACTTACTTGTCAGGTGCATTATTCCCCTGTTCATGGTTCAATAAGAACATTTCTACAAAGTGCGATATATTTTTCTACATTTTAGTATGTAATATAGTCTTTCTACTGATGCTTTTTTTATTTTTTCATTGATAGTACCTAGCATGCAATACATCATTTTTACTGTGCAATGTACATTTGCCTCACTTGAATGAGCGTTAAGATGTTTTGTGGATTCCCTTCATGTTGTGCACTTAAGGAGAAGCATTCCCAATTTCGTTTTACTTTGTATAAGGACAGTAAAGGCTTTACATTTCATTTTATTTTTATTTCGCAGCATCCTTCGCTTCAAGTCATTTTGCGTTGGGGTGAGAAGCAATGTCTGGTCTCTCCTCATGTTTCCTGAATAGGATTTGTTCAGTTTTGTTATTATTGTGCTGAAAGAAATCTGAAGCTATTCAATTGTTAATTTAGTCAATGAACTGACTAAAGGATTCTGAGGGTGCTAGGTTAATCTGAGTGTCAACAACATAGCGATGATGAGAAATCCTATTGTTTCCAATCATTTGTCCATGTGGAAGCATACAACGTTTGAATAAAAGCCCTGGGGTAGATCACAGTTGGTGTCAAGCTTTAAATGGCGACAAAGAAGGCCACTTGATAGCTATAGAGAAACCAAGCAACAAAGGCTGCACAGTAATATGTTGTAATCAACAGTGTTAAAGGGTGCAGTAAGGTCCAAAACATTAGGATTTATATTTGCCTGTAACTGTATGATATGTCAAATAACACCTTGATGAGAGATGGCTCAGAGCTGCAGTTTGCACAGATGCTTGCCTGAAAGTCATCAGTGTACTGATTTGACATTAAGAAGACAGTTAATTGATTTAAAACTACTTTTCCTGTGATTTTAAGAAATAAAATGGCAAATTGGATGGTTTTTTTTTGGGCAGTGTGGAAGTATCCAGATAATTCTTTTTGAGTAGGGCTTTAAACCTCTCAGAAACCTTCTCAGGGAATGTGCCAGACAGCAGCGATTTATTTACAACGTTAAGTACGTCTGTTGCCATGAGCCGCAAAGCAGATTGTATAAAGTTGGAAGCAATAAAATTCAGTAGTGTTTTTGCAGGGTTTCATTGTCTGTCGAACTGAATTCTAAGTTCATTTAGAGGTTGAGATTAGAACTGGGAGGACTGTGCAGAGCGGAACAGGAGCTGCTTTTGCTGCTGCAGAAAACATCCTGTCCCTTGTTTTGTGTTTGAGAACTGAAGTCATGCAGTGGTTCAAACTCATCCTCTCCCTAAAACAAGCATTGAAAAAAGTTTAAATGGAGATAAAAATCCTCTTTTCTTGAGCACAGTGTCAGCTGGCCAAGTCCACTAATATTATTTTCAACTGAGTCACATTTTAGCTCACACTGGTTTGCACCTCGTGTTTGTTCTTAATGTGAGAAACACGTAAAAGATGATCGCAATGATTAGATAAAAGAAACACTGAAGGTTTGTTTTAGTCTGAGGCAGTTGGATTCTTCTACTGTTTAGTGTTTTGGTCCATGCGGTTACATTTTTGCTTAAACAGGAACTTATCTTTTATCAAGTTCTCAACAAAACTGCTAAAGTTTTTGAAAGTATATATGTGGAGATATTAAAAACACATTTATTAGAATGCTAAAATATCTCTGTATTTTATATACTGATATATTTTATCTAGCAGTATTAGTCAGACTCCCAACTGCATAAAAAGATGAATCGCTACACGGTTAATTACATTTTTCCACTTAGCATCTGGCTGACCAACTGCTGTTTCAGAGCTTCCTTCATTTACATTTAGCCAGAAAAGTGCAAGTCAATGAAAATCCTCTGGTCTCGCTGCCAAAAAAAGCATTTAGCATGCGCCCGTCATTTTTTAACATTTAGTGGAATTGATTCAGGAATCAGCCAAGCAGCACACCTGGGATTCAGAATGAAAAACTAACCCCACACTGGCAAACAATTCTTCACAGAGCACTGTTTTTACCTGGAGCGCGAGTGGTTGCCCAGCTGGTACATGTGTGGGTTGTACTGGGCCATGATGGTGATGGTGTCACACTGCTGGCCGATGATGAGACGAGCTTGCTGCTCCGTGGCGTTCCGCAAGTTGATACCATTATACTGATAAAGGAAGAAAAGTGTGATTAGGCAGAGAATTTGAGGAAAGATGATGTTATTAAAAGAACAGAGAGATAGGAGCACAGTATGTGGCCAGTCTATTAAAGGCTTTAAGTCATTAGTAGTACTTGGTGGAGAAGATACTCATGAGAGTTGACAGGGGATTAGCTTCACACCAATTTTCCTGGTCTTAAAGAAGGAAAAAAACACACAGACTGTTCTAAAAAGAGACCAGTCAGACATTATTTACCTTGCAACATCTGTAGTCTTATTCACAAGTGCTGGAGTCGTGTATGCTTAGTTTTGGTTATGTAAAGTCACTGATGCATATTTATGATTTTTTTCTGTTTTATATAAATGATGCATGCACGTCAGACATTAAAAAGGCATCGTGATTATATTGAACAGACCTTCACTTCAAGCGGATGCCATCTTGACACCACTGACGTAAACATCTGCCCTCATTTAATCTCACTGAGCTTTAATTAATAATAAGGTGAAAAAGAAAATCTTGAGTCTTAATGAGATATTTATTGTGTCAAGTTAAAGCAGATATGCTTAGAAATGTTTGATTTTTTTCTTTAGTTTGCACTCTTATGTTGCTGAATCACAGCAAAAATGTGAAAAGGGCACATTGTTCTGGAGCAGCCCACTTACATCAAGGCTAAGCTATTTAAAGGAAAGCGATACGCTGAAGCACTGCTAAAGAGTCCACTATTTTATGTGAGATTTAATTAAATCAAAACTAGGAAACACGCAGCCAAGTTCTTGCAAACTTTTGTATATATTCTATTTTATATAAAACATCTCCACTTGGTCTGTTTCTAATACCTACTTAAACCCTATCATTTGAAGTACAGTAGGCACACACTTGATGCGACTTTGCAACAGATTTCTAGCTTGCAGAGTTAATTAATATGTCTTGAAAATAGCATTTCAGTGGATGCATCTGAGTAAGTATTAAAATACTTGGAACTATGACAGGACTAATGAATACAGTCTTCCGAGAAGTGAAGCCATACACAATAAACGTACGGTAGTCAGCAAAAAGACGGAGCCTTTGAAGAAAGCGTACATTAGTGGTATCAGTATTAGTCTGCTCCTTATTGTTCTGCTTCCTTACAGGCATCTGACAATGCATGCTTTGTTATGCCGCTTGAAGCTATAACCTTTTCAACATACAGTAAGTTGTTCATACCTCCAGTAATTGGTCTCCGTACTCCAATCCTGCCTGGTGGGCGATGCTACCTCCAGTGACTTTAGAGACAAAGATCCCTCCGTTCTCCCCGCTGACAATGGAGATGCCCAGAGGCTCTGCACCTTTGTGCACAATGACATTGCGGGGTTCCTCCAAGTACGGTCTAGTGGGAAGGAGAAATTTGTATAAGAATGAATAGCATCACAAAAAAAGCATTTGCAGGACACCACACAGGAGTGGGCAGAGAGGGGAAAGGGTAACTTGACATTTTCACAGCTGGGCTGACCAATTTGTTTACAGCTCTGGGGAGTTACCACTTACCCAGGCTTCCGCTCTAGTTATCCAAAATCACATCAGGTTAAAATTTTAGACATTTCAATGGAAAGCCTAAGTTGCGGTTAAGAATGTTTGAATCTGAGTTTAAATATCCCCCCCAGGCCTGTAATGGATCATCTCTCCAGAGGGCCACTTTATGCCAGGCTTACGGACAAAAAGGGGGACAGGTTTAGAGTACAGCTACACTGTGTGCCACAGTGAATGCACAAGCAGATGAAATCCTTTCACATGAAGACGATGTGCATGAACTTTGCGTGTCTTCATAACAAGGTGGCTTTGGACATGGCGCACAATTTCATGAAGGCAGATAAGAGGAAATGGATTAGCAGCCAGAGATCGGGGTAAACAGAGTGGTGGTGTACAAACAAGACCATGACCCAGAAGCTCGAGGCTGAATAATAATACCATTGCATAACATACATACTACAGACTATAGAGTGACTTGGCTTAAGGCCAAAATGCACACATGCATATTGACCATGTCGTCATCATAGAGCATGGAGGCTACATGCACTGTCTGAGATAAAAGTGGGTTTTTCCGACATGGAGGGAGAACATGTGCAGGCACGTAAACAACACTGAATCTTTGAAGTTCACCGAGTGTGGCTAATGAAGCTTTTATGGTTTGTTTCCTGAGGCACAGATCGTAGTGTTGCATGCAAAGAACTAGCCATCTCAAAATTAGACCGCTCCCTTGTGGTGGGTGAAAAACATCACAAAGCCTCCTTTTGCATTCCATATAGTGCATGTAAACCGCACAAGGCTACTCTGCTCCTCCACATTAACTACCTGACTGCACTAAAACATGTGAACACTTTGGGGGGGAAGAGTGGGGGGGCATTCCCTTGTTTGTAGCACTGTGAGGGAGAACAAACCTGAGGCTCCTGAGAGAGGAGAACCTCGGCCTTGCAGCCAGAGGAATCCTTAGAAAAGAGCGATTACGGTAAAGAGATCTGGAAATGGAAGGTTGCAGAGAGGCGGGAAGAAGATAAAGAGGAGAATGGAGGACAGATATCATACATAGACAGTAACAGTGTTAAAAGCTGAGCGGTGCCTGCAATAAATATGGGACAGGGATGTTGGAGGAAAGAATGAAATTCCAACAAATTGGGAAATGACTGCTTCTTTGGAAACACCAAGAGGCTTCCAGAAAATTATTAACAGCTTTAATAGGATTTCAATCTGAATTTCAATGAGGGATTGCACAACTCTGACCATGATAGACCTGTTGCCTGGCAACGCCTTTTGAAATAGCCTAGGAGGATCCATGGGGGAAGTCGTAGGCCACATTGTAGCCGTTTCTGAAATGATCCTTATAATCCTACTACACTTCATTCATCCAACAGCTACAGCATCGGTAAAGCCGTTTTCTCAGCATCTCAGTCCTGCGAAAAAGGCTGCACAGATCAACTGGACACCAGTGACAGTCACCTGATTATCACTGTAAACAGGTTGTCCATGCTCGGAAGCTTCCAATTTGTCAATTTTTGAAGAGCCAAATTAGGAAGCTAGTCAAAAAATATGTCAACAAGCTCATATGAGGCATTGAGGAGCATCACAGTACTGCAGACATGTGATGCAGCTGGTCATTGGAAAGGTAATTTCCATAATATTACTCCTTAAAAGTTTTCATCTGAGAACACTCCTTTCCGTCATACCTGTCTTTCCTGCGCTCCCCTATTGGCACAGGGCTGACTGAGATTCGAGGTAAAGTGGAAATGGAGCCTTGTGACTGGCTGCTGGCAAACGAGGAAGTCTCCAGATTGAGTGGCGATTGTGGAGGTGTGATGAGACTGGGACTGCTACACTCGGAGTGTGAGAGGGAGCCTGGATTTAGGGAGAGAGTAGCAGAAAGAGCCAGAATAGGAGTGAGTGGTGTAAGATGGCATTTAAATCCCACATGATGATACACTTGTAGAGTATTTATTGACGTCTGATTGCAAATGTATCTTCATACCACTTTGTGACACATGGATGTTTTCGTGAAGGACATGAAAAAGCTCATATCACTAATTCTACATCCACAATACACTTCATTTTTAACAACTATTACGACTTGAGCTTCTTGGTTTTACTTTTCTATACTTGCAGATAAAGTTCAGGGGAATCTTTGGAAGCTTGGAAACACCCCTTAATGTAGGACAAAATTAGTTTCTAACAATGTACGGAGGATTTCTGGGTTATTAGATCTTCAAGTGCCTGGAGCCTATTTACACCTGGACATGTTGTTTTTCTGTCTGAACACAATCTGACTACTTACGCACATCAACACCTTGTGCAGATGAGCTAAAAGGTGTGATAATTTGGTAGTAACACTTACACTAATGATCCAAACTGGGAAAGTGCTTAAAAGACTTCAACATCTGAGGACGAAATTTAAGGCGGCGTCCGTTTTCCTTCTGCCTGTGATGTTCAATTTCAATTTAAAATTTAATGAAACATTGATCTTACAACTCAGCGAGCTCAATAATGTTAAACCAAACATGAGAAACAGCAACAAGAAAGAAAAAAGGAAAAAAAAAGCTCTGCTGCCTTGCGGTATGATCTAAGGGGCTTTAATACTTGTGTTTTAATACTCGTTTGTTGAGTGGGAAGAGTGTTTTTACTAGTGAGCACAATACCTCTGTCTGATCCCAGCATGGAGCGGGGGTAGCGGGGAGTGGAAGGGATTTTGATCCTCTCTGTGCGGTACTGAACATTATTGGAAGAACCTGGCAAGAGGATGAGATGCAGGAAAGAATGCCGTGATGTAATATCCAAAACGAGAAAAGGGATGTTGAGTCTGTGACCTTTATGCATGTGTGTGCGTGCGTGAGTGCAAGTCAGACTGACCGAGCCGGGCACTGGAGGGCAGTGAGTTTGTACCGTGTGAAGCTCTGCTGCTGCGTGACGATGAGGATTCAGAGTAGTCGCTAGTGCGCTTCTGCTGGCTCAGGTCCAGGCTCAATCGACCCTGGTGTTGTGGGCTGCACAGACCCCCAAAAAAAATACAAAAACCGCCTTATGAAACTGCCGTAATTATGAATGCACTGCTTAGACAATAATTTGAACATACTTTTACAATTCAGAGTTAATTAAATTGATGGGTTGAGCTAAATCACAACAGCACAATATTAAGGCAAAGCAACAGTGGGGAAATTTAATTTAATTATGTGATTTTGCCTTCGGGAAACTGGCTAATTTAAAATCATTAGTCATCATAACAGGCCCCATCAGAAACACTGAACTGCCAATTCAAAGACGGCTGGATGTAAGACATCGGTTTGAAAACAGGGGTCGAGTGTGAAAAGGAGGTAACCTGGTGTGGGTGTGCTGGTGACATATCTGGGAAGCGACAGATGGACAGTTGCTGGTATGAACGCGGTGGCTGCGCACGGTGTACACTGGATTCCTCATCACGGCCGTCACAGCGGGACAAGGAGACAGTCCCCGGTGGGCGGAATCTGAAGAAGCACAGACACACCATCATGTTAGAAGTGAAGGGGGGGGGTTTGATGATTATGCTGAGAGCATGTAAGCATGGGTTTATGTAACATTTGAGAAACTCACTGGGAGGTAGGGTGCCATTGTAGACTGTGGGGACAAAGCCGACACTGTGTCTATGAGAGCGGCTGGGGGAGGAACGCAGCATGTCCCTGGGCTCTGGTGAATGCTCATCATTAGAGTAGCTCTGTGATGAATGACAGAAACAAACGGTTACGATTTCCCCTGCAGGGTAACAAAATAATATTATGTCTAGGGAGATATTCTCTGCCCCTTTGGAGGAGGTACCAAATGAGAAAAATGACAACACGAACATCTCACAACAGTGAAATGAACATTTATTCCCAGTGTGTCCTTCAGGGCCTGAAGAGATAGCCAGGCATGGTTGTCTGAGCCCCAGGCACTGACTCAGCTGCTGGGCTGGGTGGCTGTACCAGTGCTGAGGCATCAATCACTCAGACACACTGGCTAAGAGGCAAGTCCCAGAGGCTTAACTCTGAAGGGCTGTAAATTCTATTACAAAATGGATGCTTTGGCCCACTGGGATGATTTGAAATGTCCCAATTTGAATTTCTCTCACATGCATCAAATTCGCTTCAATAGGAAAGCTTCTAATCAGAGCTACTTTGGATTGATGCAGGGAGCAGGCAAAAGAACATTTGAGAGGAGGTACTTGAAGATGAAAATGCACCACATAAAGCTTCTACATCTATCTTTGAAGTCTCAAATGAACTCACTTGGAAAGTGGGAAGAGTGATGGTCTGAGGGGTCATCCTACGTCGAAGGGCGGGGGCAGATTTTGGGCGTGGCCTCTTCACCTCCGGCTCCTCTCCTCTGGTACGGCCAATGTCCTCGTCACATGACTTCCTTGAGGTAAGAACCTTGCCGTCCAGGAAATAGTGGTTTCCATTGCGGTCTCTTTCTCGCTCGCTCCTCTCCCTGCTCTCTCCTGCTGCCATGGAGATGGCAGCCTCTCCCTTGCCATCTGAGGTGATGGTGCAGTCAGAGGCAGAGCTGCTTTGATGTTTGTGTTTGAATTTAAAGGAGTCACTGCGAGTGGGTGGGGTTGGAGGGGTTGGAGTAGGGGTGGATGAGGAGGAAAGGGACTCAGTCTTTGAAGGCTGCGGGGAATGAGAAGCTGCAGCGGCAGCTACTGCTGCAATCTGATTGGCTGCCATATACTCCATCTTTGAGGAAGGTGTTTCAGGGCGCTTGAAAGTGTCTGGGTCAAAGATGGACTTCCTTTGCTTGGGTGATTTATAGATGGAGAGTTGGGTGGCTGCTGTGACTGGACTGGTGTTGTCTGATGCGACTGACATGCCTCCTACCATCATCTTGGGCCACGTGCCCCCACTGTGCTTCTTCTCCAGGGTTGTTTCCATTGTGATGCAGTCTGAGGGAGAAACAGGTTCAAAGGGCAAAGAGGAAGGCGCCTTTGTGTACGGACAACACTCTTGGAAAGCACTGGGCCCATAGCGGCCCGTTCCCAAGTCTGACGCCGGCCGGAGGCTAGTGGCGTGGAGGGAACCTGTGGAGAACGGCTTGCTGATGTCGCCATACACCTCATCAGATTCACCTCTGACCTTCCTCCTCTCCCCAGAGATACTACTTGTGCTAGCGCTTCCCACATCAGGACAGAAGATGTCAGTCTGTGTTGAGCTGTTGTGTTTGAGGTTGCGACTGTTCCGGGAGTGAATCTCTGACAGGTGGATGCGTCCATTGGATTTCTCCGATGACTCGCGTAGACTCTCAAAGATGTTCTGGCCCGACGTGCTGTGAGGGAAAAACTGTGGGGAAAACAGACGAAGAGAATAAGCCCCAACAGATGAACATACAGTAGCTTCAAGTTTTTTAAATTATACAATGGCAAATAAAATAGTAATCAGACAACTTCATTTTCATAAACCGCACAGCTAAAGCTTCAAAACTGCTATGTAGGGCATTGCAGAAGTAGAAAGAAAGTTCTTGAAAGATTTTCAGCGAGAAAAGGAGCAGAAGAGGAGCTCAGAAAGTGAGATGAGTATTGGCCCACCTTCATGAGAGAGAGGCTGAGAGAGTCCCTGCAGCTCCTCAACAGAGCCTCACACTCTGTCACAGACTTGTTATCCAGAGCAATTCCATTTATCTGGGGAGCAGAGAAAGACGTTAGAAATAAGGACAGGTCCTTCAACATGAAAGCGACGCACGTTAGTCTTTTTTGATCGTTTTCTGACAAGCGTTTGTGTGTCTTGGGCGGCACGGTTGTTAAAATAGATGCACATTTACAAGCACATACAGGTGACACATCTCCTGAACAAGAAAGCGCCTGGGGGCCCGAGATGTGTCTCGCGCTGGTGCGGTGGGGAAACCACAAGAAATCTAGGCCAGCACATTTCAGTCTCAAGAACTCTCCCACTGCAAGCCGCACATTTCCATCACAAAAGGTTCGACTTGGGAAGAATCTTTATTAAAAAAAAAAAAAGGCTGGCGATATTAAAAAGCAGCAAAGTGGGTAATATATTATGGCTGAGATTTAACATTAAACAAGTTCAGGAAATAACTTTCTGATTTAGAGTAAGTCGGATACATTTATCAAGCAGGGAAACGAAAATGGCAATTAGGCATTTAATAAGCCATACATAATCTGTCACAAAATGTGATTACCATGCAGAAGGGGAAGATAAAATATGATACACTTCCATTTTCAGGATCCTCTGATGCATCCTGTGTGTTCATTATCGCTAACTGGATGCAACAGAGCTGCTGTTTGGTTAATCCATTACCCAGCAACATGGAGGAGGCTGCTATGCTGCTAAAGAGATATCCATCTTCTCTAGGATTTAAAGGTAATTCACAGGTTTCATGCTTAAGTTTAAACTAACAGGGGAATTAAGATTTCTCCCGCTGCTGGCAGATTAGCATTAAAGTCTAGGTCACTTCTCCATCTTTTTCAAAAAAATAGAGATTCATAATTCCGTATCCGAGTACGCTGCAGCTGTGTGTCCGGAGACAGCTGCACTTAGCCCTCTAGAGCTCCAAGTTTTTGAGGATTTAATCAAAAACAGGGGGAGACTGACTTCCTTCCACGTCACATACTCAACCAAATCCCACCTTATCTGGGTTTGGAGTGTGGATACTGGGATGGATCAAGGTCTGGATTAGAAAGTCGAGGGAACCAGAGTGAGCTGCGATGTGGAGGGAGGGTGTATTTAAAAAAAAAAAATAGAGGATTTTATAGAAGCTGACAATAACTCACAGCGATCAGTCTGTCTCCAACTGTGAGAGAGCCCTCCCTGGCTGCCGGACTGCCCTGGACAATGGCAGTGACAAACACTCCGCTTTCCAGACCTATGCCGCTGTCTGTGATACAGAAGAGAAAATGGGGTGATAAATTAGAAAACAGAAAATGGCAGAGAGGCCTAAACTGTGACAATGCACAGCAATGACTAAAAGATAAATATTTAAATCTATTTATAAGCAAGGTGAGAAATACCTTTGTGTCCCACGAGGTTGATGTGAACAGGAGTGACCAGCCTTCCGCCCAGAGACTTCCTTCTTCGTACCACCATGTTGATCAACCCTCCGCCGTTAAGGACAGCCTTCACCACCTGCTTCCTGTCCTTATTGGTCAAGTCAATGTCATTGATCTTCAACAACCAATCATTCACTCTGGAAACATAAAAAGAAGGAATGGTGAGGAATCTAATGCATTTTGGTGCAGAAACATAGCATCTAGAGGCAGCTCATACCTTAACCTTCCATCTGCGATACTTCCTTTGTCCACCCTTGTAACAAATATTCCACAATCCCCTGGTAAATATGGATCATTTACCCCTTCAGCAATATCAAACCCAAGTGCCTTCAAATCCATGTCGTCCTGTAAAGGTGAATAACATAAGTGTCAGTCAATGCATTGTGGAAATCCTATTTCCATATCATCATGCGCTGGCAGTCCTTTGAGCTCTACTGGGTCTCAGGAGACTAGCAATGTCACCAAATCACTCTCAGTAATAAGAGCTGAGCACTGTTCTTACCCTGTCTTTCTCAAACTCCACCACCTCTGTCTCCCACTCCAGGGAGTCCGTGTCGATGGCGGAATCGTGAGAGCTATGGGCCATTAGCTGACAGAACCGGGCCTCCTTCTCCAGCTGGCTCTCCATTTTCTCCCTTAACAAAGGAAGACATCACACACAGAGTCAAAGGCCAGCCACTTTAGGACAGATGACCAGAGACAGCAGAAAGAAAGAATCACACACAACCAGTCTGTAAACTGGAAAAGATTTTTCGAACCAAAAGCCAACTTTTCTTCTGTTTCTACTGCAATCACAGCATATATCAGTATGGATACAGAAAACAGCCTGGATTAAGAGGAAACTGTATCTACAGGCAACAGAAATTATAATTCAGCTTGTTTAACCTTCTCCTAATCTGTAAGTGGGCTCTAAGCTAGTTACAAAAACATCTCTGGTGTCCTTTCTCATGCTCAAACACTTTCCGTTTTGGGGTTTTGGGAATCAAATTTATATTTACCCAGAAGAAAACTAAAAGTAGATTGCACACAATGCCCCACTGTCAGTAAGATGTATGGTGTCCTACTGAGGCATGCCTTGCGGGTAGCTGTGACATTAAAACCCCAATTGTACATTGTTCTTTAAAGAGGATAGAGGATGAAAAGTCACAAAGTCACACTATAATGCATATAGGGTGGATAATAGATTTCAAAAACTTCAAAGTAGGCAGAGATAATGGATTGGGCCCCGATTGGAGATAAGTCATGCATCTTAAAACACAGCTGATGGTGGTTAGATAATGCTACGTTCAAGCTAATATAAGGAAAAACCCACTTCAAGTCTCTGAGAATCCACTCTTGCCTTGAAATCTAACTCCAACCTTCCATACTTTGCTCTAATTCTAAAATGCTTGTCATATACACTTCAGCCAGCAGAGGGAGCTTTTACATGCAATTTCAAGGCATTCTTATGCAGCCTGTTAGACACAGGGAGAGACAAAATGTGTATGTGTGTTCAAAACACTGACGCTTTCCGGGATTACACTTTAATCTGGGCGTTTGGAAACGTTGCCAGAAAAACAACTGAGCTAAATGATGCCTCTAAAGGCAAAGGATCACAGCTTATGCCCCGCCACACACTGAGTGCGAATGCTTATGGAGACAAAGACAGTGCAACACATAATGCTGGCTGAGTGGAGGCAATTTTGTTCTGTGCTTGTTCGAATGCAGGAGAATTTTTCATGGATTGTTAATGAGTCTTTTTGGGTGTTTTGCCTTCATAAATTAACCAATTGGCCATCGGGCAGCCTTCTTATATAAGCCTTCCCTATAATTTCTATACTCATCAGCGAAGACTCACTTCAGTTCTTTGAGCTCTCGCAATGTATCGTTCTTCTGTTTCCTCATATCGTCTAAATTACGCAGGGCATCGGCCAGATCGCTGACCGCCCGGTCCCTTTCTCGCCGCAGGTTATCACACAGAGTCCTGAGGAAGGAGAGAAGAGAGATGGAGAGATAACTTGAGAATAAACACTGAAGTGTATTGCAAGGAGGGCATACTCTCTCAGATCAACACTACTGTATTCAACTCTATCAGGAGTCTTTATCAAACCCACACACACACACTGACCTTATGCTCTCCCTCTCCGCCACTATTTTGTCCCTCTCTTGGAAGGCCCAGTCCCTTCGACATTTGGCCACCTCAGCCTCCTGCGTGGCCTCCTTCAGTTCCTGGGACATGGCCTCGTACTGCTTCCTCAGCATCTCAATCTCCTTGTTGGCTCGTTCCATGTCCAGGGTGGCGGAGTCTTGTTTCTGAGAACATTGAGTGTACGTGAATAGGAGTAATTAAAACAAAATACAACATGTTGCCGTTCACATTGTTGTAATATCCTAGAGTTTATAGTGTTTGTGTGATTTTAAAAAACTGACCTAACTGAAGCACAAAGACAGAAAATGTGGAGACTATACAGGCATGAAAGGTCTTTAAATTTCACACATAGCTTAACCTTAAAAAGGTTCATATTTCATATTGATATTGATACTATCAGCATGTCTTACATGACCTGCAGAAGGACTGTTAATAGTGAGACGACAGAGGTGCTTTTGTGTCCATTTTTGATTATATACTGTCAAATCCAAGATATGTTATGCATAGATGTAGTAGGAGGGCTGATACAGTGCTGCCATTCAGCCTTGACACGTGTTTTTTCCAGTGGCCACTTAAGACATCAGACTCATAAAAATCTATGGAACATAAACACAAATCTATCTGGTCATTTTGCCTCTTGTCAGATTGTGAGATTGTAGATGGTATAAGCCTTGTATCTGTTTTACTATTATTTTTATTTACGCCATGGAGATTGTATATATGTTAAAGTTTCTCAAAGACTGAAAAAGTGAGTTTTATTTGCGCGATGTCATCCCAGTGTAAAGTCCACATGTCAAGTGGGAACACGTAGGCAGGGCCAGAGGGGGAAACACTAAAGTTCATGTGCAGTGGGCCACAGAACGAGACAGCAAACCTGGAATCTAGAAACATTTCTTTCAGGTCATGCGCCAAGCAATTTTCATTCAAGTGAGATCCCACCATCTCTGAGTCCGGTGTTCAGTTCTCCTTAATACATTCATGGCGTTACATCAAGGAGCAGAAGGATTGCAATCCTAATTCAAAAAGCCTTGCTGCTTACTGTGGTGAACATCCAGAGTGATAAATTGGAATGCCATGTTATGATCACGGGTGTATTGTGTGGTGATAAATACTTCTGCCTCACCAATACGTGCTCCGGATCTCCATGTTTCCTCCACTTTCAGAATGATTGTGTGTGTCAATTCTCTATCTGAATAAACTACTGAAGCGGTCACTGTCTATTCAGATAACTTACGATTTCATATCGATACCACCAGCAGCTCTTGATGTACTAATGCCATGCCTTTCTCTTTGCTAAGCACAAGATGTATGAGTTTGGGAATAAGCCTAGTAAGTGCGTGGGCTAACCTAGTTAGGAATTTGATTCACAGGCTATGAGACAGGCAAACGAGTACATCACAGTAAAGATGTCAACAGATGCTTCCAGGGATTTTATGAAGGAGCAGAGCGTAGTTACTTGTCTGGCTTGATAGTACTCTCGGAGCAGCTGATCCCTTTGAATGATGGCCTCTGTCCTCTCCTTGCGGGCCACGTCCCTCTCCTCTCGGACCGTCTCGATGTCCTTGCAGGCCTGGCTCAGCTCCTTCTGGGCCTCGGCTTTGTCCTTCACCTCGTGGCAGTACTTCTCTAGCAGTTCATTCCTCTCACAGATGGCCCTGTCACGGTCCACCAGCGACGAGTTCAACTCCTGTCCCAGAACAAAGGCAGGCAAAACGGAATGAGGGCATCGCAACAATGAGTCATTAATGTTATATAAAAAAAACATTTGCAGAGTGATCCAATACGAGCTACAAATCTCGGTTGTCTGTCAACCAGTGTTCAGAAATATTCCTTCAAAAAGGAGGCAGCGGGGCTGAACTATTTTTGTGCAGTGTATTGAGTGAGAACGCCCTTTGATCCAATGACAGAGTGGACAAGTTACAAGTGGATGCTTGGTCCAAGTCATGAGCAGACTCATCAACAAATCATCCAGCTGATAATATATTCTCACAGAGGAAATAGTTTAAGCTGATGCACATTCAGAGCTTTTGAAGGATGTGGTGAGAGTACAGCTGGATCGTCTCACCATCAGTCTGCAATTCAACTTAAGTGTATTTATATAACAGACAACATGTGTCATTACTTTGCATAGAAAGATCAAGACGTTATAGTATTAAAGGGATAAGTCCAACAATTCCTCTTTGATAAAGCAGTGAGGAGGAAAAACTGCCCTTTGATTAGCAATGCCAGATATATATGTATTCACAAATTCTATGCAAACATTTATTTTTTTAAAGCAACTATTGCTTTAATGGTGTTTCAGGAAATAAGTGTGCACTCTTTCTCTCATATAGTTAGATGGGAATTATGATTATCATTCTCATATGTCTAAATTACATCGCTGAAGCTGGAGGCCGGTTAGCTTAGCTTCGCAGAAAGACTGGAAACAGTGTGAAAAAAAAGAATTCTGGCTCAAGCGAACAAAATTCAACCTGCAGCACTTCAAAAGTTCACTAATATTTTTTTGTTTTTGTGTTGGTTTAAAAAATATATTTTATCAGGGCTTGTGTACAGGACTATTTACCGGCCAGGACCAGGAAATTCTTTGATTCTCTCCTTGTTGATAAGTAACTGGGACAGGTCAGTAAACAGTCCAACAAACCAGATATAATGGTGGTAGTCAGATTGTGTTACCTGTGGACAAAGTCAAACTTGATGCTTAACCACTTCCCGGTTTTATATTAAAGAAAAGAGAACTGGCTACATATATTTGCATTTTATTTCCTTAGAATATGCACATTTTACATTTTCTGCTGATACTTTTCTACTTATGTTTATATTTTGAGGGCATATTTTGCTACCTATGTCTATCTAAACATTTTTTGTACTGTTTCTGTTTTAAGATTTTGAATGAGAGCAACTGTAACGTAAGCAATTTCCCCTCAGGGTTCAATAAAGTACATCTGATTCGGATTCTGTTTAACTGCACAGATATTGACCTTCTTACCTGACACTCGGCAAGTGTATATTGCAGAATGTCAAACTATTTCTTAAAGTATTTCTATGATATGTCAGATTTGATGACTATAAGTTTGGGCATCATCTCATGAATTTCTGTTTGGTCTATAATCCTCTTCACTCAAGTGTACCAGCTGTTACAAATATATACACACTATACCTGTCTGAGTGCCTCCAGCTCTTCACTGGCCACCACCCTCTCCGATGAAGTGTTTTTCAGCCGGGCCTCTGCAGCCTCCAGTTCGGTCTGCAGCTTGTCCACCTCCTTGATCACCTGGTCCCTCTCGCTCATGATGAGACGATACTCGTTGAACACGGAATCCCTCTCCTCCTTGAATTTCTCGCAGTCCTTGGCCGACTTCAGCTGCAAGTTCTTGTAGCGCGTCACCTCCGACTGCAGTCGCTCCATCTCCCTCTGCAGCTCCTTGTTCTGAGCTGAGGACTTGTTCAGCTCCTGCTGCACTGAATCAAACCTGAGAGCACAGAGAAGGGCAGGGAGAGTTTAAGTGTCAAACTTTATAAGGCGCTCATATAAAATAATGTTGTGCTGGATGCGGTCTGAGTACAGCTAATGGTGCTGGACAGGTGTTGGACCATTACCTCCTTTCCTGTGCTGCTCTGATTCAAACATGAGAGACTGAAGCTCGAACCAAAATGTTACCAACATAGCAAAACAGGATTACTTAGCCTTTGTCCCGACTAATGACGCCTGCTCTTGATGTGTACATGTGAAGGTGCTTTACCTCCTCATTGAGGTAGAGTACTGCTGCTGGTAGTGCATGGCCGAGTCTCGCTGTTTGAGCAAAGCATCCATCTGCTTCTGCAGCCTCCGGTTCTCTTCTTCGGCCTGCTCCAGGCGGCTCAGGTCTGTGTTGTGGTTAGCCACCTTCTCGCTGTAGCGCTTGCTCAGGGCGTCATACTCCTTCTTTGTGCCCTCCAGCTTGTCCATCGCTGTGTCATACAGTTTATTTAACACCTCTGATGAACCCTTCTCTCTCATTACCTGGTAAGAACAAAAAAAAGGCGTGTGACAAACCATAAGAAAGATATTAGTAGTGTTTAAAATGTTGATGCTATCAGAAAAAAAAAATCTAAGCATGTATTTGCTGTACCCCACCTGAGCAGCAGATGGCATTAAAGAGCAGACATGATTCCATTTTTACAGTGCAAGAAAATCCAGTGCCAGCAATTGGCTTTTATAAGTGCATTACTAGAACTGCACTTATGCACTTAAGCAAAAGTAAATGACTGGCCTAAAAAATTAACTGTTTTATGTACAGAGTGTGTCCTCCAGACTACATTATTCATTCTCTGTGAGACCTTCACTTCTGCAGGTCTTGCTGATACGGTCTTCCTGATTCCCAGGCGAGTGGCTTTGACCCGAGGGCTGTATTGACCTCGGCTACAAAGCAGAGACTGCATGCACACTGATCTTGTAGCGACATGGTTTGGGTCAGTGTGCCCTTTGCCCGAGCCAAGCCCTTTTCTTCTGTGCTTGCCCTTTTCAGAAATGCCCTGTATGCATTTCCCTCTGCTTTGCTACCCTTTCGCTTGTAACCACTGCAGTGTCCCCACGGGTGCTGTGTGAGACGCTACTTCCACAATAGTACAATACAGGTCACAACCCTCCTGTACTGCTTCAGAACAAAAGTATTCACTGCACAGAACACAAAGAGGAATATTGTTCGACATGCCAAAATGTACGAAATTATAAAGAGGTGGAAAGAGGTGAAAACTCCTCAGCATTATTAAAAATGTGTTGATGCCTCGGCGCGGGCACAAATATCTCCGCGAGAAAGTCGTTGGAGCGCTGGCATCTGTTCCACGTCAGTAAATCTCATAACATCTGCACAGGAACGGCAGACACCCACACAACAGTGCGTCTGTGAGGCGCTTTGTACCTGCTGTTGCTGCAGCCGAAGGTCTGCCAACTCTTTCTGGTCTTGGCTGTGCAGTCGTTTGAGCTCCTCGCAGTTCTGTTTCAGGTGGTTGTGCTCTCGAACAAGTTGGGTGTTGTCCCTCCTGAGTGTTTCCATCTCCTCCTTCAGCTGCGACTGGTCGCCCAAGACGCGGCTGTGCAGCATGCTGGAAAAGAGGAGATGCACGTGAATGTAGAAAAAGATACAACGGACATGCAGGAGGTAGCTCAAGTGAGTGATAAGCAACGTTTCACGGCTAATTAAATTTATGGATGGAAATATATGATCTAGAAATGTATTACTACACTGTAGTCGCTTGCTTTTTAAAGGGCGTTAAAACCCATTTATCGTATCCTCCCTTGCTAAAACTAAAAGTCAGGCAACAACACAAACAAACTTCATGTGGCTAGACTCTCTTTTTTATATTATGTGTGGAGTAAATGAAGCCAATGTGTTGCAAGATCAATTTCAGACAAAAGCATCGATATCAACTTTATTTGACAGCTTATTTTCACAAGCTTTGACAATATTCTAAGTCGCTAAACTCTCCAACACATCTTGTGATCAGCCTGTGTGCTCCATAAAATCTGCCTCGGCTTACAAGCTGTGAGTGTGAATGATTCAATAACATAAATGCCTTGATTTCCAAGCTTTTAAAACCACACAGATATTTTGTAGTGCCAGTTCCCCTTTAAATTTGAAAGCTGGCTGTAGCTGCGAGGGATGTTCTTTCAATTAGGTTAATTGCATCTCTATGCCAGTATTTGTTCCAATTGCAGTAAAACAACGCAATAAAACTTAATCATTTACGCTGGAAAGCAGCAGGTGGCAGGTGACAGAATATTCGTCCTACGCTTTCAGTGTTTGCACTTCAATTATGAGGCTAAACAAACACGTTCACCATCGCGTTTATGGGAAAATCTAAGCAAGTTGGTGTGCTGACGACAAAACAGAATGACTATAAAGTGTTCTTCATTAGCAACAAGAAAGGCAAAACATGTAGCATGACAGTTAGAAATGAGAAATCCTTACTGGTAGAAGTCAGCCTCCTTTACAGCCTCCTCGCACCTCTTCAGTGTTTTGGTATGCTGGTTCTGGAGAGACTGCAAATCTGCCATTGCCCTCATGCACTGACTTTTCAGACGCTCATAGTCATGACTGGCTTTGGAATTTGGCCTTAAGGAGAAAAACAGCAAGGAATCAAAATTGTATTCAGCAGCCTTGTGTGATATTGTGCCCAAACACAGCTCAGACAGGAGGATTTAGGAGTCGACCTTCCCCTGGTATGAGAATTTAGAAGATAGGAATGAAATATTTGACTGAATCTAAACAGCGTTTTTAAAAAAATATGCACTGACGTAAACAAAGCAGCTTTTGTATCATCCGTCGCAAAAGAAACATCTGGTAACTAGAGCACATTAAACTTAATTAAGCAGCCAGTGTCAGTGCCCTCTGTCTGCGAGGTAGAGTCAACATTATTTCAGACAGCAGTGAATAAGTGGATGAAAATATAGCAGCCAGGGCTGAAGACACTGTCATCACAATGACTTTAACAGCCGAGACGGAGTAAACATTCCCAGTGAAACTTTGCTGCCGACAGAAATTAATCTCAAGTCTGATGTACTTCATTCAGGAAAAAAAAAACTGAAAACATTTTCATAGATATGAGGGGAAAAAAAGTGTTAGCAGAGGGCGGGGGAAAAAAAAAAACACAGTAACAACAACAACAACTTGGCAGACGGGCCAGGATTTGCACCTGCAGTCGTCGAAGGTGGTCCCAGGCGATGCCAACGCCAGACGCTTGCGAAGCTCATCCCGTTCCCTGGTCACCTGGCGGAGCTGCAACAAGATGGTGTCCAGGTTGTCGCCGGTGTGCCGGTTGTCGTTGATGGCCGGGGGTGGGGAGGACGCTTCGCCGTTAACAGGCGATCCTGCGGCAGTGAGCACATTACCAGAGGCTAGGACTATTCATCACACAGTGGATTTAGGGAAAAAAAAGTTTCCCTCACAACAATACATTTCATTAGTCAGAAGTTGCATAACATACATTAAGCCCAAATGCCATTTAATTAATCATCTTGCCTATGCTTGGAAAGTAAAATCTAATTTAGAAATTATAGTCCAACTAACTTGATGCTAAAGTGCGGCCCAGCAGTGAGAGGCAGCACCTGCTTGTTTTGAAATTCCTATACAATATGCCAGGTTCCCCCTTCCCCATTACATTTGACAACAAACTTTCTGAAAATTACATTGGCTTTACAAGACTACACCATTTGCAATGTCTGACATGAAAATGAAAAGCAGACAGAACAGATAGGCTGATAACTGTACGTCTGGTATTTTGTGTGTAGTATGAAACAAGGTCTGTAGAGATTCTTTGATTAAATTTAAGCACTCGAGTTCAAACAAAGGTCTGTAAAGGAATAATGGCTCCACACCGAGATACCTGACTGTTTTCCTGAAACCTAATTTTCTTTATCCTGATTTTTATATATATATCTAATACGAGATTTAACTGTCGGAACAGAGATTAAAATTCACTTGCCGGATCACAAAAGAGGAGGATTTGTCACTAAAGCAACAAGGTCATCCTCCTTCACTGTGTGTCCTTGACACATTGCCAAACAGATTGTGATTAAAAAGGAAAAAAAAACATTATATATCATTACGGAGTCACGTTCAGGGTTGTTTTCTTCAAAAGAATACCCACGGCAGGAAATCTGAGGATTATGTTCATCTTTGACTCAACATTTGGACCTTTTGGAGGTTTATGTAACACAGCTGAGTCATCTGGACCTTTGTCAAAACCAGGGAAAGGCAAACATGGCAAACTACCGCAAGGAATGAGGCAGACATCGGGGAGAGTGTTATTGCTCCGATGTGGGGTTTAGAGGACAAACAAAAACGGTGACTTTGTGAACTCTGTAACCTAGCAGACAATCGGGAATTATGCTAATATCGGCGTAAACAGCTTATGATAAGTCACAACGCGGCAAAGCTGATTTTACTTCTGCTGCTGCTGCGGTGTGTTTGCAGATAGTATAGAAGTGCTCGTCTGACCTGGCATAACACGCGTCTTAAGGAAGGCAGCGTGGGTCGTTGTACATACCGACGCTGCTGAGGGAACTGCTGCTTTCCGAGTCAGAGGGCATCGTGGAGAGGACGCTGTACGTGGAACCTGCCGAGAGAAGGGACACATTCAGACGTGCTGCGCCGACAGATTGATGAACCGCTTATTGCACGCGCTTGAATTAATTGTCATTACAACATGGCAAGAAATGAATATTACACAGTCGGCTCCATATCCCCCCCCCCCCCCCCCTGCACGGTAGTATGATAAATTTGATGCAGGGTTTATACTTGGAATAATAACTTCCAACACTCCTTCTTAGCGGCTCTATATTATCACTCCAGACCGCTGTCGTCATTAAACCTCCCTTCCCTCACTGTGCACTCTGCCTTGCTTTGATGTATAGTCCCTGTATGTTTCTGCTACACAGGCAGAATGTCACGGCTGAAATGGGATTTTCTCTTTTTATGTCAAGCACATAGAGAGAGAGAGAGGAGAGAGAGAAAGAGAGAGACCGAGAGAAAATGATTCTCTATCTGAATAGCTGTACACACCGTTAAGCTGGGGGATATTTCACACAGGCTACCACAATCCATAGGAGGGACTATGCAGATCCCCATTATGCCGAGTCCCTGCTCCAACGGGCAACACAAACACGCTTGACAACACAAGCCATATTTTTTAAGAACATATCTTAGACTTAGGCTCCTTGTAAAATAATATATTACACTGTACATTTTTTAAAATTATTTCCCCTTAACACCTATATTTTCTGACGAAGCTGGTTTGTTGGCTGCTGCAGAAAGACGCCGATCACCACAATTTACTGTTTTTAATAAAACTACTGCAACCAGTACATTCAGAAAATCCTTACACAAATAAAAACTGAAAATTTAAACATGCAAAACACACAAATGATCTGTTGATGCATCAGTGATTGGGGGCTGTGTTTTTTTTATGTTTTGCCTTTATTCGACACTTGATAGCAAAGAAGCAGACAGGAAATGTGGCGTCGAAGGAAAGCGAATTTATGTGCAACACAGATCCTCGACTGGAATTGAACCAGTGATGCTGCAGGTATGTGGCATTTCACCAGGGCTCTCCTGCAGACTGTAATTCTGTATTTATTTGAAATGTGGACGAAGAAATACAAAGAATACCTTTTTTTTTTTTTCTATCAGCCGGTCATTTCAGCTCTAAATGAATTCCTTCACCTGCCTAAAGGGGCACAGTGAGGCACAGATGATACTAACATAATGTGATAAATGAACGCCGAGCACACGGGGTTTAAGGGAGCAGGGGAATGGTAGCTGGCTTTGTCAGCAGCAGCCAATAGATTGACGCCAACTGTTCTAGACCTCCATCTCTGTCCTTGCCTCCCCACTGGGTTTTGCTACAGCTCTGGCTCCAGCCCTCAATGTGTGACAAGGCCAAGCCTAATTAACTATGAGCTCTTTGCGACTGAGCCACTCCATCTTAGGCCCCGCAGACAGAGGAGAGGCGAGGGGGGCAAGGGGAGAAACATGGAGAAGGCATGGAGCAGAGGAGGACAGATGAAAGGAGATAGCCTAACTAAGTCGCAAAAGAGATAAGGAGGGAGGGTGTTTGAGAGACAAAGAGGGAGGGGAAGTAAGGGGAGAGACTGTGAAAGAGCGAGAGAGGCGCGGGGCGGAAAGGCTTTTAATCTGTTCTGACGTTCCCTGATGCTCAACACTTTTACTCTGCGAAGTGCTCGGAGCACACAGCTTTGATTTCATATTGTTCCATCCGACGTGATGAGAACCACTGTGGGGCTGCGCGGCATTAATTCTCTACAATCAGCGTGGCTATGAAAAAGGCTCACGCTCATTTCCATGGTGGCATTCAAAAGCAACAACTGACTTCTTGAACCCACTATGTGACTGACAAGGTTTCATAGTAAGAGGTATTATGCCAGCTTAAGTCTAAATAAATCTTTTTTTAAAATACCATCGAGAATAAGTGACGGTGTGGAAAAAGCTGAGACGTTGAGCTTTTTGAGGGTACCTGGTGGCAGATTGGGCTTAAAAGGCGAGTCCCAGGTTTAACTCCCTGTAATGCAATCTAATGTAATGTAGCTATAAAAAACACACATCCTCTTGAATGTTGCATTTTGTGATTCAAAAACCAAAAACACTCACATAAATTAAAATAATCTCTGTCACTGACAGCGTCCACCAATGAGGCCGTCCTGACGCAATCCTCAGGAATCTCTCAATCTGATTTTGAATAAAACATCCACAAAAATCCCCATTTGTAGATCAGAATCATGTGCGGATTAGTTAACCCCAAAAGCACAACAATAAACGCAGTATGAGCTGCATTATCCGTGCCAGCTATCCAGTGTTCGATGGGGGTCAGGGGCATTAGCCTTTTCCAACGGGCTTTTAATCATCGATACCAATTAGCAGCAGCCACATTCGGTGAGGCTGATCATTTGTAAACATGTTCGCTGCATCAATAAAACAGACATCCATTAGGGAGGCATAGATCTAACACTCCACAGTGGGGAAAATCCACCCGTCTCTGCCAGAAACAGACAGGCAGGACGGATGAGACCTGAAAAATTGCATCCAGCATTCATGTTAAATAGATGCACGTAACCAGAGGTTTCATCATGCTTCTTCGCGCACGCATCTGCTATTAGCTTCAATCGAGACATGCACTAAAGGTGAGAAATATTTCAGTGGAGGACCTGAGGTGATGGCAACAAAGGTTGTGATCTAACTAGGTCAGGGGAGTACTCGCCCTACCTATGGGGCTCCACTTCCCCCCCACTCCCCTTTTCGCCACTCTCCCCGTCTGCTTTCCTTCACAATCAAGCCATGTGCTCAGCTTCCAAAAGTTGCTTCAGACAACCAGATTATGTTCTCCGGCACATAAAGCGGGATGACACACGTTGCCATGGTAAAACTGGATGAGAGGAAGAGGAAATTCTGCAGCGTGTTAAAAAAAAAAAGAGCATAGGAGTTGAGGGGCTGGAAGAGGAGAGCCTTATCAAAGAAAGATGCAAAGTCTGGCTTCCACCATCGGGTGAGACTAAATTATTCATCGATTCCAGAAAATTCCCTATCTGACAATGAGAGTATCTCCCAAAACATAAAACACACATGATTATCATCGCGATTGGATCCCTTGCTGCTTGGAATTCTCTTCATCAGAACATGTTGACAAGCCTTGGCACTGTGGTTTTTGAAGCTGGCATGGCATGTGTTCTGTTCTAAACGCCACAAGAGACTCAATTTTTGGGGCCACTTGGTAAAGGAACACATTAGTATTCCAAAAATAATACTGTGTGCTATTCTTTATTAGCCTGCTGTCAGCTCTTCTTTCTCTCAGTGATTTTTTTTTTTTTTTTTTAAAGTCACACACCAAGAGGGTAGCAGAGTCCAGATAGTCTTCATACGTTTTCTGCTTTTGCATCCTCAGCATCCCAGCCAATAAAATTCTGGAGCGCAACAGTGATGATATGGGTGAAAACTATCTGCTCATTTTACTGGATGCTTAATTGAGGCTGAAGGATGTGTCAGCATTAAGGCAGAGAGCAGAAAGAATCGTTCAGCCTGGCATCCCAGACCTTGAAATCCTGGCTGTGGTTCTGCACCCAGCAGGATGATATAGCTTAAATTAGGCATGTACCGATCGCACCGACTCCATCTTAATACTGGTTCTGCTCCTCAACTCAGGATATTCATAGATACCGAGTCAAAATCCAGTCCCAGTGCTCTTGTCCTGCCCTTTTTATACCCATAATGTCACCTTGCGTAACAGATCGGGATTAATCTGGTGTAAAGGTAACGCAAACCTATAACTACACACCCTGTCATAAAAGTGGAGACATTCATAGTTAGTCTTAAGGGTTTGTGCAAATCATGCTATTGTTCTAGAAGCTTTGGAAAACTACACATATCACAATGATCTGGAAACCAGGTCACTGCTCAAAGGACAATCACATGCATCCTATCCATCACTAAATCTGTTTCAGGTTGAAATTACAAAGCTGCAAGCAAACGTCATTCATGTCCCCTTGTCCATGTCTCCCCGTGTACTCCGGGACTTTCGGTAACCCGTGTAGTGGGCCTAACTTCTGGGGAAGGCAGTGACACCACAGGCCAAGATTCTGGGCAGCGAGCCAGTGGAGCCTTACTGCCAGAGTAAAGGATTGATCATCTGATTTAAGGAGTCTACACTACGCATAAACACGAAGACATCTAACATGATGACTCCATGAGCCAGGATTACTCCACCGCACGCACATCGCCTGACTCACAGCTCTGTGTTCATCTCAGCATGGTCAAACCCACCCACCTTTTTCACTCACAGGCCCCAGTCTGCCCTGTGGCATGTCTCAAAATACCACTGACTGAAATGCAAGACCGTTCACCTCGGATGAAGCCGAACAGTCGTTTTGGATCTCTGCAAACAATCTAGGACGTTAAATTAAAAAAAACGACTACAGAAAAGAGCCTTCAACCCAGCAGACCTGTCAGAATTGCTGAGCAGCATCGACGTCCAAAAAAAAAAAAAAAAAAAAAAGCCCCTCAGTGCCATCCAGCCCAGTCTATTATCAGCAAGCCGTAATGGGGTTTCTCAGTGCAAAGAGCCCTAGCTCAGCATAAATGAGACATAATTTCTTTTTGAACAGCTTGCCTGTGCCAAGGGTTGGGTCAAAAACAAAAAGGTGAAAGATGTCTGCAACATGTCCTCCAAATGTGCTGTTAAATACTGCAGCTAGCACAAACACGAGCCAAAACACTGCCCGAAAGCCTGTCTGCGAGGAACAAAAACCCACTGCAGCAATTTCAGAAATCTTTGTGACATTCTTTTCATGTTTAATCACAGAGGAGCCCGTGTTGATTCAGAAGCCATCTTCATCGTGTGTTAAGATAATTCAGTGATTAAACCGCACTATCATTTTTTTAAAGGTCACCAAGAGAGAGGGAAGAATTAGTCAGACCTAATACTGTAGATGTAGCAGGTAGGCCTTTTGTACGGTACACAACAATTAAGTTCAAGCTTAGAGACGCGTCTAAATGTAAATAAACGATCCTAAAGTATGCACCCGTGATAATGTTTTCTCAAATATTCCTGAGGTGCATTTAGAAAATGACTTTGCAGACAGAAAACAGTCATCAGAATTCTAGTCTGTCTGTGGATCCACGCAGCCCCATCAGTGGTTGTTTTGCTCCAATGCATTCCATTGATATTAAAACCCATCTGCTTCTAGGCCAAGACAAAACAGCTCCGCCACCATTGCTATGTGTCATCCCTCGCTCTTGTGTCTGATCTAAAAAAAAAAAAAAAACGACGAGGCCTCGCGTGCAACAATCATCACCATTACTTGTTGGTGACTACAGGTCAGATATGACCCGGGGTTAAGTGCCAGAGACTGACAGACAAATGGCCGCAGGTGTGGTGCTAGAGAACTAAAATGATGGAGAGACAAGGCGAGCTGATGGAGAGAAGGCTGGAACAAGAGGAGTAAATAGAAAGAAAACAGCGAAACAAAGAAAACAGTCTTGTGGAGGTAGGGATGGTAAACACAAGGAGAGGAGCTGTTCATTTCCATGACTTCATCGTGCTGGTAAACATTTAGATGCTGGCATTTCCTCTACCTTGTGGGGTAATTAGGAAATGGAGGAACATGTGTAAAATGGTAATGAAGTCCTGTTCCACAGTTCAGCCTCCTGGCTGTGGTTCTCACATTCAGAGCGTAGGTAAGCATGCCATCAGATATTAATGCAAGCGAAAGTGAAAATATATACAAATTTTACACTAACAAGATCCTCTGTTAGAGAACAATAGAGCTACGCTGGAACAATACAAGTAATGACCCAGTGGAAGCAGTGAGGTCAACCTCTCATTACTGTGCATCTTGATGGATGTATTAAGCAACAACACGGACAAGAAACCCTATATCATTAACTCTGCTAATTAGAACTCAGCGGAGGGTTGACCCAACGATTTCATTAATGATTCATCTAGATTAGTTTCTCAATAATTTAAATATGAATTTATCATGTAAAACGTCCAAAAAAATATTCCATACACTCCCAGGTGGCATCTTCAAATTGTTTTGTCAGATAAGCAGTCGTATAGCCGAAGACATTGGCTTTGTCAAGATAAAAAAGCAAACTGGAATGCTTCAGGTAGGGATGTCTGATTTTGGCTTCGTTAGCCAATATCCAATATGCCGATATTCTCCAACTCTCTATTTCCGATTCCGTTATCAGCCAATGCCGATGTCTGTTACTGTAGCCACACTTGTTTACACACTTCACCAGTGAAATCCAGGCATTATTTGAATCGTTTTTCATTAGAGGCAGAAAAAAACAATAACGATATTGACAGATATTACGTTTTTATGCCAATATCGATTAGGACATCCTTAGTTTCAGGATTTGTGCGTAATAAACACCTCCAATGATTGGCTGAATTTCAAAATTACTGCTGATGAATTTTCCGCAGCTTGATTAATTGATCCATTGTGAAATCTACTATTGGCTCATTTAAAACCACAGCACCGCTGTAGCTTGGCCCATATCAACTAAAGCCTGCATTGCTGGTTTACAGAGATACAGCAGCGTAATAAAACTCACACTGATAACTCATAAATATATATATGTGGAATCTCTCCAAATGCGATCCATCACCCCCCGAACCACAAACACTGTCTAACAGCAGATGGACCGATGGCTTCCTCTGCACACCGGGAACCGCGGCAGAAGGGAGTCAAGCTGAGGTACAAAGAGTGGTGAGCGGCCAGAGAGCGGGGTGACAAGGTGACTGACAGCGTGCGTCACCGACTGACGAGACACTGACACGGACAGAGGGGCCGCGAAGAAAGTGAGGCCGGGTTTGGGCCCGTGGGAGATATTTAAGAGCAGTGGTCGTGACAAGAGCGCCGGGGTCATAACTCATCCTGTCCGTCCCCTGTGGTTTATGGAGTGGGACAGAAACTCGTTGACAGAGAGGAGAGCACCCCCCTCCAATAACACAAAAACACTGGCCTATGTCCTAGGCTGCTGTACACAGAGCAAGCTGCTGACTGGGCACTTTGGGCCTGCTCAACTTCTCAACAAAAGGCCTGTTGTCTCCCTCTCTCTTGCTCCCTCTTTCTATCACCCTCCTCTGTCTCTGTGGCGTGTCCCGCTATTTAAGAGTGCGGAGAAGTGAAACCACTCGGTTGGGGTTTGGGGAGGAGGGAGGGGGGGGACGAAATATAATGAGTCATAGAAAAGAGAAAGAAAGTTAAAAGGGAATAGATTGTGAGTCAGAGGGAAAAAGGACAATAAAGCATGAGAGCGAGAAACCAAGACGAGGAGAAAACGAAGGCAAACAGACAGCAGAAGAAGGAGATTGTGGACGTTGCATCCTGTCAGGGAGAATTGTGTTGCCTTCCTCTCGGAGTGTGTTTAAATCACTGTCACGGACTCTTGAATCTGAAAAGAGCGGGGCGGCGGGGGGGTGCAGGTACATCTCTTCCACTGCTCTGTTCTTTCGGTACAATATTGTCCCATGTAGTGCAAGATGAGCGCACGATCCCTCCAAAAAGGTATGAAATCAGCTCGACTGCCGTTTCTTCTTATGAAATTAGATCAATTCCATTTGGGAACACAGAAATGTACTCTCTGTCTCTCCCTCTTTGCAACACAACAGGGCTAAAATGTCAGTGACACTCGATATTCTGAGTGAATCTCTGCTCTGCAGTTTAATCAGACTTAGAAAATTTTGGTAAAAGGGCGAGCCACAGTCCCCCAGCATACAGATGCACAAAACAGGCTAAATAATGAATGATTTGTTTGTATGTTCTCTAAAGCAAATGTGCTGCAGTTTGCCAGCAAAACACTAATAATTTACGGAGCCCAGGCTTTCAACAATTGAGCACTTATGTGTATGCTTTTCCTTTGGGGTGAGGATGCTTCCGTGGAGTTCGGTTGATTTCATATGTTTGCGTGTATGGAGGCTCAGCTGGCATAGGAGGCTCATCTGAGAACAAGAGCAGGCAGGCAAGCATGAGAGGAGGACAAGTTGAGAGCAGGTTGCTATCAGCAAGACTCATCACACTCATATTCCCTCTCCTCACACACCCTGCGTTGTTCACAGAGACACCGCCGCTCTGATAATTTCATCCCTGCGTGCTGTTTCTACCAGCTTCTTTGCCTGAAGGTACTCCGTGAGCGGCTTGTCTTCGGTCTCTTGCAAGTGTGGTTAAAACATGGTAATCGCATCACCCGAATCACTATATTAAAGATAATAAAAAAAAGCACATTAAAGAAACCACAACACTTGAGTGAAAACAGAGGGAGTCAAAAGCGTGGCAGCTAATACAGAGGACTGTAGAGGCATGATAAAGCGTGTCTCACAGAGAGAGTTTACACCAGAGAGAGGAGAGCAGGGCCTAATCCTCTGTTGAATAACCACAGGCTGACAAGCCAGACTCACTACTTGCGCTCACTCTCTCCTAATACAGGGCAGGTCAACTCGGAGGCCCAGTGCTACAGTCTATAAAGGTGTGTGCGGAAAAGCCCAAATCCACATTGCCAAAGTCAAGGGACTAACAGAGGGACCAATTTTGTAGCTCCTCACAGGTAAACAATGGGGAGTGAGTGTCAGAGTACATCAGGATGAGTGTTATTCTGCAGGAGCAACACTCAATACAAGGAAGTAATAAAGCTTAAGGAAGCATTAGTGATCCAGTCAGCAGAGCAGCAAGACACCAACTCAGCATTACCTGCTAAGGTCTACTCGCTGGTAGTAGACTGAGGCGTGCTGCAACTTGGCAGTTGTAAAACACGCACTTAAAGCTGAAATAAAGCTACGTCAAAAGGATCTGCAGCACAGTCCGCATGGCTGTTTTAATATATGAAATATGCCAAAGAGAAGCATTACTCTGCATCTGCCTCCCCACTTTGGGATCTCAAGGCTCATCCTGCATTCAGGCCCTCAGGGCACGACGCTGGTTGTGAGTAAGCTACTGGCTTCAGTCATTCATACAAAGCAAAACAGGCAAAACTAGACAAGGCTTTTACACTTGGCTGCCCTTTGTCTCTGTGCAACAACAACCAAAAACCGCTGAGGTGGAGGCAGTTGCAGTGAGTGCAAAAAAATCAAGCGACTATGGTGAATAAACTGTAATTAAAAATGTAGCACTGGAGAAAAAATATCTGTTATTGTAAGATACCAGCATGGATGGGTTTCTCTCCAAATATAAGAACTGATCTACACCATGCTTTGGGCTTGCGAGCATGCATGGGCAGGCTGCACGCATGCATATGGCCCAACATGTCAGTGGTACACCCGTTGTCATGGAAACAACTCAGGCTACCTAATGTAGCATAACCGTATCATGCCACTGTTAACAAATGAGAGTTGGTGGTGGATGTAAGTGAGCTGGCCTTTCTCCAAATAATAGTAAGAAATCCACCACAGCTGACCAAACTGATCATGGAGCTTTGTGTTGCACTGAAGGAGAGCAGTAATGACAAAATAGTCCTTGGCTGAATGAATCATAAATTGTGATCTGCCAGGCCACGGTGAATATATATATAGTTTGAGGTCGGTGCAGATGTCTGACAGTGTTTGTAGGGGACACTGTGGATGCCCTTGCAACCTTCACATGCACCTTCATCATACAGTTGTGGGCTGATAGTAAAACAAACCCCCAGCATTAGTGTTGTGTAGCGATCCACAAACGTCTTCTTGCGCCAGACCACCCAGATTGCACTCACGGCAATGGCTATGCAGTGGCTGGTCCCCCCTCGGTTCTTTTTTTTGTGTGTGTGTAAGCTTCAAGTGAAAGCCTGTTTACTAGCAGGCTAGTGAGAGTCTCGGCTCTTACCGGTGGAGTGGTCCACAGGTCCTCCGCCGTTGTTGCCGAACAGGGCAGCGTACAGGTCAGGGTATGCCTTCTCCAGGGCCACACACAGGTCGAGGAAATGGTCGCTCTCCTTGTTCATCAGCATCTTCAAAAGGTGGTCGACTTTCTCGGCGCTGGACGAGCAGTTCTGGTCCAGTTCGAACCTATCGAGTTGACTCAAGGCACCAGAGACGATCAGCAGCTCGATCACTCGGTCCGCATCTGTTATGGACTCCAATAAGTTCTGGTGGCACTGGTCTAGCAACTCTTTGTGCTTTGGCTCCATTGCTATCCGCTGTAGTTCCGTAGCTTCCCAGCTAACCTCCCCCCCCCACCCCCCCCAGACGGCCAAGTGGATGTAATATCCTTCCCCGATCAAAAGTACCGAGCGATTATTGAACTCAACTTATCGCGGCTTGCAGAAGTTCGCCGGAGCCACCGCGGCATTAGGTTGCACGGGAGATCAATTTTTATAGCATATTGAAAAAGGCACAAGAAGCCATATTTGTTGCCCAAGGCTGTTGACTGCACTAAACAGCGATACATTTTTCCATCTTACTAACGTGTAGCAGTTCAGGTCGTTTTCTGCTTCCCTTCAGAGTACGCTGTAGCCGAACACATTTTCCTCTTCTTATGTATCATTTCATGCGCCCTTTGCCGACTCAACTGCTGGGAAAACTCACGTAACTCCGCCGCTGATCCTCACTTACACTGTATCCTCCGCCATGTCTGAGCAACTCAGCAGCTGCTGCCCGCTGTCAATCAACGGTCCGTTCAGTGACCGTATAAGGTAAAACGGGGCGGGACTTTGCCCAAAACACGCCCATTTCTTCAATGGGCGTACACATCAGCCCGTAGTACGTCGAAAATCCCAGGTGGAAAAAATGAGAATGGAGAGAACATCCATGAAATCAAGAGAAAATATTAAAAACACATACGCAGGGGTAAAGAAGGATAAACAATGACCTTACACATCTATATCTGTATTTTTCAAAAATGCAAAACCTTATTTTCTGTTGTCTGACAGACTTAATATAATTTTTACTCTATTATATTGATTCCTATTTGATCCAGGCTACATATTTACCTAAAATAAAACAATATTGACAAAAATATATCTCTTTTGCAACCTTTGTAATTTTGATTTCAATTTTTTTGTGACTAATCTGAAAAAATAATATTCTATCAGATTAGACATTAATTATGCTGTTAATCATTGACATATTCCAGTCTGTTGTAATCAAATAAAAGAAAAACTAGCCCTAGCATTTATAATATGAAAGGTATTTCAGATTTAGTGTTTTACCACAATAAGCAACAGCAGTGTCACATAAACAAATAGGCATTCAAAGGGTTAAAATCCTGAAAATGAAAGAATATTTGGTAGTAATGATCAGATCTGATTGGACTTTTTCTTACTATTATTAAGTGGAAGTGGAAAATATTAATAGTATATCATATTTTTAAGGTAGTCTTTTGACATTTTTGTCCTTACGAGTCTCATTTTTAAAACCACACACAAGGGATACTTCGCTTAAAACACAATAATTAGATTAAACTACCTAGCAGAATATACAATTAGCTTAACCTCAACAAACCACATCAATGCAATGCTAGTTACAGAATAATGCTAGAGCAGTAACTAATACAATATACAATTATGAGTACATTTTATTTATATCTACAAAGCAGGACTTTTACTTGTGATGAAGTGTTTTCATAGTACAGTATTGTTACTTTCATTTAAAAGATTTGGCCAACCACTGTGTCCTCACAGTGCAAAAAATGCATTTCTGTCATGAAAGATTATGTCAGCCTAAAATAGTTCCTAAACCAACTAATAAAGCTCATTTATTCTAATCTTTTGACTTAACACTGACACATCAAATAAGCAGAGGCCCTAATGGTAATCCTCATTGACTATATTAAGTATTTTATTTGGGAAAAATGTTAATGCGGTGATAAAAATATAAGGATTTTATTCAGTCCTTGCGTAATACCGCTGCCGTAGCCACAGGCTTATGCACCATGTTTCTATATCCAAGCTGCACTGCAACCTATTTCTGTGTGGGATAAGATAGAAGAGGGCAGCGCGCCATTTGTGAACGTATAAGCAGCGTACAAGGGTGACAAATGAAATGTGTATTTAAGCAGGATTTGTGAAATACAATATGATGATGATGGATGCACTCTGCTTCCAGTCTGCCGCTGAATAAAGATTGTTGGCACAGAGGCAGGCGTCTGTAGGCATACCTCTCAAACCGTGACCTTATTCATGCATGCACTGAATCTCATTGTGACATCTACAACCCCCCCCTCCAAACCCCCTTCTGTCTCTCTGCCATGCTGGCTCCATGTCTTGTGCAAGCATGTGCTATCCCTTTAGATGAAAAATTAATTACAATTCATTCATATCAAAGGGAAGCAGGTCCCCACTGCTGACACAGATTGCACGATTGTGTCTGTACCCAACTTCTGAGGACACACATTTGAATAGAGAAGACGGCCTGATGCTTTTTATCTTGGGGGTATGGATGAGTTTATTATTTTTGACAACGTGGGGTGGTGTTTTCTGGCTGTCTGATAATTTAATGAGATTTTATTAAACAATTTTGTTTTTCAGACATCAGGGCAGATAATAGCTTTATATTTTATTAAAGAGACTGTCAACAAGCATATCCATCATTCAACTTAGCCAAAGTGTCTCAAACGTAAAATTTAGTCAATTTCTTTATTGCTGCTCTGAAGATGTTTGAGCTACGGGTAGTAAAACAATTAGTTTATTCACTCACTTTTGACACACTTTTATTCATTGCATCTACATAATACACTCTCTCAACAGCCATGCATCTGTTTCATCTCCCTCCACTGAGAATGCCTGAGAATGATAGTGTCTCCAAGGTGTTGAATGAAGAGTACCAAATCAAACAGAAAGCGGTGACGTGTTCGCAGAAAATAACTTTGTTGGTGTCATTTCTCATCATAGAGTTTGGAAGACTTATTTAAATGTAAGGCCATCATTTCGCCACAATACCTCAGAGTTTGTGAGACACTGCGAGAGGTTTTCCAAATGATTAGATCAGTTATAATAGACATTAAATTAGGCAATTCATGTTTTTTAATTAACAGTGAATTACACAGCCTTCAGCTGGACGCCTGCAACAGAAAAGAGGTTTATGATTGTAATGATATCAGAACTACAATGTTGGCAGAAACATGACGAAACACTTTGAAATTACCTTATAAAACTCATTTAATGATATCTAAATTGTCTTCTAAAAACTGATGTAATCGCATCTAATCTTCATTAAAATTCTAGTTATTGTAATCTTAGCATCTATCTAAAGCCCTCAAACCTTCTTTGCCATTTCTAGTCGATTTTAACATGACGTGATCAAAACTGATCCTTCCAGCATGGCTGTCGTTACCCAAGGGTCCCCCCGTGCCTCTGATAGCACTGCAGACATGGTAGACTTGTTTAATGTGGCCAAGGCAGCTTTATGGATGCCATCAATTCCACGTGCTCCCTCCCCTCCTCCCCACTTCACAGAGTTATTGATCGTAGTGCAGTTAACTCACACACACTACTGTAGCCAGCCAAGCGCAGAGCCACATCTTTACAGTCAAAAGGGTTTTAAGCGAAGCCAACGGGACTTAATAAGGCATCCAGAGCTCCTTGTGCAGCCACACATGCTGGCTCTGCACCCCTCCAGGAAAGAGAAAATTATCCGTCTGTATTGACTGAGCAAAATGCAACGTATTTAAGAGTCACCAGCAGGTTCCTGACATTGATTGGGAGACTTTCGACACATTCAGCGTGGGAGAATCGAGACACTTGTTTTGTGGCCTGTATAAATGGAAACTGTGACCTGGGCTATTGATTTAATGCCATCATATGATGATCCACATGAGTGCTGCTTGTTGAAATTCACATCTTTTGTGTGGCGATTGAGGTTGAATAATCACTTCACTGCCCTCTACTGGCAAACTAAATCTAGTGCCCAACACTAACATGATCAGAGCAGTCGGGAAAGGGTCTCGACAGCTCAATTGCTGAAAGGAGAACATGGTTATTGAGTGCTACCACATGGTATAAATAGTCAGAGGCTTGATCAAACTCTAGAGCTGTCATCAGCTAACAATTTATGTCAGTTCGTTTCAGATCATAAAATAAAAATGTAATGGTGTTAAAGTGTTGGATGAAAGGATTGCTTTTAATGTCTATTTTCTGCAGGGCTTGTATTCATTTATTTCCACTTGAAAAATGTGTCATTTGCTAATACACACTTCTGCATACAGCTGTAACTGCTGTGAATGCCTTCTCGTGAGAACCACTTGTATAAAACGTATTAGAAGAATGCCTTAGTCAAAATAAAAAGCCTATTTATAGAATGTTTGTTGCGATGAACCACAAATAATTCCAGCGCATGTTCTCAATGTTTATTTTCTGAGACTCATGAAGACAAGATCACAATTTATGAAATGTGATGTTGGGTTTTGCATGCTACAACAACAGGTATACAATAAACAAATTAAGCGCTCCCTATCCCTTTACCCCCGTCCTGTGTACAGTGCACAAGCTTACACAGGACACACTCAACTAGTGTCGTGCAAATCGGTCTGATATACTTTTGTTTTTTTTTTTAGCTTTCCAGAGCCAGGGGTGTGTTCAAACACCAGATTTTTTTTTCCAGCACACACACTGATTGGACAGATAGTTCGTATTTCCTGAATTTGCCAAAAAGGGTTTTGGATTGGACTCGTATTCTCCACCTTTAAAGCATCTGCATTAAACACAGCACAACTATGATGAACAAAACAATACAAAATATAGAAGAGATTATACAATTGCAAACATTATCTTTTACTTTGGTACATAGCTGCTATCTACTCTGTGACTCATGTTTTTTCAGCATTACGGAACATCAGAAAAGAAGCTGATAAACGCATCGGATAACATTTAATATCTGATCGTATTGGCACAATTGAAACAAAACAATTTATAAAATATATAGCTCTTAAAATTCTAATGTACGCTCTTAACAAATCCATTGTCTGACCGTGTATATTTGACTCATATATCCAGCAAAGATATGACAAGTGAAAAAATATAAAACCTTTTGGTGACACTGTATATATAAAAGTAACATGTAGCAATATGTAGACGATTCTTATAGTTGAGTAAACATTGCATTGGAAGCATTGGCATGGCATGCAGGTTTGCAGTTTGTATATAGTGCATAAAGATAAGGCAGAAAATTGATATTTATAGAAATCTCAGTAATGCAGTGGAAGTCTGGTTTTCAGTCACTGCCTCCACAGAGCTTCAATAGGAGTTTCTTGTAGTCTCCTGATGTGTCTCCCTGGTAATTACACAGAAGCATTAGCAAATGATTTAACCATATGTTTCACAAAAACGTGCATACTTGTTGCTTTAATTTAAATACAATGCTTTTTTATACCAGATACTTACAGAGATGTGCGTGTAGAGGGACTTGCCGTAGTTTTTAACATACTCCTGACGAATGTCCAGCATGTCGACCTCTGAACGGGTGACCATTATCCGGATCAGGGTTTTGTCTTTGGTCCCAGCTCCCTGAATACATGCACACACACAAAATTACATACAAAATGGGAGGGGCATTTAAATTACATGCTATGCTAAGCATATGTAGTAATGTTTAGAAAATGTCAGGACAGGGTATCCCACCTTCATGGCCTTGTAAAGTCTCTCAGCAAAGTAGGCAGGTGTATTTTTAATACACTTCACTGAAACATAGAAAGTAACTATTATCAACAAAAGCACAATATCTGTCTATTTTTTTAAACAAACGCTGCCATTAAACTATTATGAGTACATTGTAAAGAACAGAAAAATGTTTAACACAGAAAAGGCAATGAAAACAAACAAATTTAAAGCTGCTTCAATATTTGTGTGGTATCAAATGACTGGTTTCTAAACTTGTGATGACTAATCTTTTCACTCTATTTGAATCTAGCACATTTATTATTGTCTGCTTGAGTCCACCTACTTACATCAATGTGACAACTGCATTGAGAGCAGCAGGCAGCTGCAGTATTAAGTAAACAAGCTCTGATAAATGTAGTGTAAGCTACCTGGGCAGCATTAAATGGCATTCCAAAAAAAATAGTATCTAAGCATCTAAAGAAAAAAGACAGATTCTGTTCTCATAATGCTACTCTGTTAGATAAACAAGCAACTTAATAAAAGTCATACAAAGGTAAAGCTGTCTCTTTCAGCCTGTTTCTGGGATTTTTTTTGTCCCCTAGTGGTCAAATATTGGTGAATGCAGCTTTAAAGTAAATCATATTTTGGAAGAATGTAAATGTGAAATCAGAGACAAAATATGAGCAAAATAAAAACAAAACACAGCAACAAAAACAGTGCAAGACTTTTAACACGGCAGTGCAAACCACCTCACAATGACACCATACAGAGTGAGTGTACAAGACTGATGAGAGAATTCAAATAAAGCACATCTGAAAATCGGTTACAGTACCATAACCCTGAGAAATGTTGGCAAAAAAAGGAAAAAAACAAAGAGATTACGCATTGAACAAAACCCCTACCTTTGCACTACAGTACATTTACTTTAGGAAGTTAGGTTGGCTATATTAACACAATGAGCATGGATGGCTGAATGTTACGTCAAACATGTACCACAGACAAGCTTCTCTACAGTCATTAATTAATTATGCATGACATACTGTAACTCTCGTAATAGAAGTGGCGTGGCCTTTCTAAGAATAGACTTGAATAGGTGTGTGCATTCTTACCCACTGCCAGCATGCCACTCTCAAGGTCTCCGGACATTTCCCTGCCGATGCTCTTCTCAATATCCCTGCCACACATCTGCTGGTACTCGAGAAACACTACACACACACACACACACACACAAGCACACATTCACACAAATACGCAGCATTAGCAAAATAGCTAACTTACTTTTGAATTGGTGACTTGATTCTCAATTGTCCTTTCATAGGTTTTCAGTTAGATTTCTTCATAAAGCATACCTGCTCTGAGATGGGGTTTGCTTCTGGCACACAAAATAGCATTGAACTTGGACTCATCTGTTCCCAGTTTGTTTTCTCCAGCAGCATACAAGGCCTATTAAGATAAAAGCAAAGCGTCCAAACCAAAAAGTCGTTGCAATCAGCAGGTCAAGTTATAAACAATATACGAGCCACCAAGGTGTAGATAAACGATGAAACTTTAATTACTAATGAGAAAGAAACAGACTTTACCTGAGCATCTTGTTTAGCCAGGGAGATGTCAACATTTTGTCGTTCGTCCCGATTACCCTACGCAATACAAAACAACACATTCCTAATTAAATTTCATGGTAGCTGCTAAGAGAGGTATAAAGGGAATTCGTTTGTTTCGCAGCTTTACCTGAGCGAGAGAGATCAGGAGCCTGCGGAAGTGGCCTGAGGTGTCTCCACTAATTGCATCCTCCAGTGACTTCTTGTACTCTGAAACAGCACAAAAGTAAGAATAAAACAACACGCCCCAAAAAAACAAAACAAAACAAAAAACAGATCACAAACAAATACGTGGGTTCAAATTAAAGAGACTTTTTGCGTTGAAGTTGGTGATTATCTGAATATTTTGTTTTCACACTTGAACTGAAGTATTTTGCAAATGCATTCAAATCACGAGACACTGAAACTTTTTACTTGCATCTTTTGGGGCATATTCTGTAGGTAGGGGGACAAACAGCTTAATTTACTAGCAAGGGAAAATAGATTACAGTAGATTTCTATATAATTGTAAATAAATAAAACAACAAACAAACTGCATGAGGTCTTTATGTATTTGTAGTTGTGAAAGCCTGATTTAAATTTATCATAGATTGAAAAGGTTAGCACTATTGTTAGCCATAACACCTGCATTATGAAGTGTTATAATAGTATCTGCATCTAGGCAGGCTTAGCTTTCTATAAATATAGTAAAACTCTTCAAAACTAGTGTTGGGATGCTGTGAGATAAAGAAGAGCAGAGCGGTGGAGGAAAGCAGTGCTTTTACAGCCCTGGGGCATCACACCTTGTTTGTAAATCCGGTTTATCTCCTTGATTTCAGCGTTGGAGCGGGAAGACAGGATCTCTATCAGACAGGCCTCGTCAGTTCCAGCTCCCTGTGAGGAAGACGGAACAATGATAATCTCACAGCCTCATCCTTGCCAAAATTCGTCCTGTTTATGTGTGTTCACTGAATCTTCATTCAAACCGACAGCTGATGCAATTCTCCACAACATTCCATCGTAACACGTCGACATGCTTCCATATCTGTGTTGCAACGACATTTTGTGAGCATTCACCTTTATGGCACTGTGGAGTTCATAGGCATCAAACTCTGCTGGGGCCTTCATCATGGCCATGACCAGCTTCCTGAAGTCTCCAGACAGTTCTGAATGCAGGTCCTTAATCAGATCCTGAAAGTGGAAACGTGCTTGAAATAACTCAAAACCACCATTAGCTGCAGCAGTGAAAAACTTGCTGCAAGAAGCTCTGGGCATAGCTATAATGAGCTTTGAGGACATCTAATCCCCTCTCCATTTTACTGGAAGCGCCAGCACCTGTTGTCTGCTTGTCACTATTATGCACTGCTCTGTAATGCACACTGAGCCATGTAGGTTTCCATCATAGTCTATGGTGTTTCTTGTTTAAACTTAAAAAAAAAAAGATACTCCTCTAATGGAAAATGTCATTAGTTAACACAATGACAGTAGAAAACAAAACAGTAAACATGAACAGGACTGTTACCTTTCCATAGGCGGTTTTGAAAGTCCTGAGCATAGGCACACGCTGCTTGTTGGAACGACTCCCCAGTAACTCGATAATGGCTTGCTCATCAGTTCCTGCACAGACAAGTCCACAAGGTCAAATCAGACAAGAATCACAGGTAATAAAATGTGGCTGAATTTCAAATATGATTGATAAGTACAAATAACATTCATACTAGGGGTGTGCATCTCTACCTTAAGAGGCAATCCGATACAAATCTAGATACAAGGGTTACGATACGATTCACTAACGGTACATTTTAATACATTATGATGTGATTCGATAGCTTGAATCTATTTGTGTGGTGAAAAAAATTAAAGATCAGATGCATCAGGTCAGAACAACGTCATTGTGTTTATTTTTCGAATACACAAACAAGACAAACTGTTTCTGTATTAAATATGAGAGAATATTAACATTAACCCCTTCAGCATATTGCAATCCATAAACTTTGCAAACTGAAAACATTCAACATGGCCTCAGTCTGTTCTGACGCATTTTATCAAACCAAACTAATGCTCTGCTACGTGTGGTTCTGGTCGGAGGCTGCTGTGTGTATGTTTCGCTGAACAAACCCGAGTGAAGCTTCAACTTCTGCTCTGGATCTCTGACACTGAATGCACAGACTAACACACAACACAACGTGCTTCTATATTGTGGGTTTTGCTTGGCCAAACAATAATATATTTTGTGTGTTGTTATAAAACAGGCAGCGTATGTCTGTGTGAAGTTTTGACTATCACCAGTTGATCTGGGCGTGCTTCCTGAATAACCACCAGGTGTTAAACCAGGGCTCCAGACTAACTTTTTCACTGGTAGCACCACTGTGAGCAACTTTCTTATTTGGTCACGCCTCCCACTTTGTCACAGGCAAAACTACATCACTTGTTGAACGTCTGCTTATTGATAGATGCTACAATTTACAGATGTTCCCTAAACGCAACACATTGCAGGTTTTGGTAGCTGCTGTTAGTGGCCGCTGTGTGCTGAAAAACACTATGAAAATACTTAAACTGTGGCATTCTAGTGTCAGATTTGTCTGAGATAGAACCGAGTATTTTTAAATTTAATTCCTTTTTGCAAAGGGGAACCCAAAAAAAAAAAGGAAAGGAAGGGGCCCCCAACTTCAACAAAAAAACCAAATTTTAAAGGAGAAAAACCCAAGCCAACAAAAATAAAAAAGGGCCGGTCTCCAACAAAAAACAACAACCCAACAACGAAACAACAACTGGGGGGAACCCGAATTTTAACCCCGGAACAAAAGGGTTCAAAACCCCCCAACCAAACTGAAAAAACTTTTGAATTTGGGCAACAACGTTAAGTTTGCCGCCCCCAAAAGAAAACGAAAAAAAAAAAGAACTTAATAAAGAAGAAAGGTTGAAGTTTTTCAACAAATCCTCCTCAAAAAACACCAAGGCCGGGCGGGAAAAAACCGGGAAACGAAAAACCGGAACCGAAAAAAAACAAACAACCCCAAGTAAAACGGAAAAACCGGGAAGGCCGGCAAGCCGGTGGGCTGGTGGTGCCAACAAAAAACGTAAACGAACCACAACCCCCGCAAAACAGGAAAACTGCCAAAACGGAACCGCCAAAATTAAGAACAAAACCCCAAACAAACCAATCAAAAACTAAAAACCAAAAACCAACCCCCCAAAAGAAAAAAAAAACCAACCAAAAAACCCCCGAACCAAGGAATCAAATCATAAAAAATAAAAACCAATTCCGGGTGGTATCGGTGAATCTTTACCCCCCTAATTAATACCTAAAAATAAAAAATCTCTTTCCAAATATACAAACAATAACCCAAAGAAAATGAAGGCTGCCCATAACTACAAAAAGTAACAAAAGTTATAGGATTCTTATGACTAATTAATAAGGTGTTCCTTCACAGAGAAGTAAATACCCTTACAGCTCCCTATGAAATGATGTGTTCATGTGTTATGTGCTCATAAAAGACACACATATTTTTGAATACTATAGTTCTTTAGCTTTCTAAGTTACCTAAATTCCCCTCCATTAAAAAAATAAAAAATAAAAGTAAGTGTTTTGGTAAATGCCGGTCCCTTTTCTATGTTTGACCTTCACTGTAAGACAAAGGGTGACACTAGAGGACTGTTCAATTTCATCTACTGAAAGTGGATATTTGCTGAGCGTTTATTTAAAATACAGGATATACAGGAACATATGGGAAGAAGATCTTTAAATAATTAATATTGTCTGATAATGGTCCTGTCTGTAACACTTACCAAAACCCTTCATGGCCTTCCTCAGGACCTCCACATCCTTAAGTGGGTCAGCTCCAGGAAAGTCCTTGATTGTTCCCCTGAATCCCCTCTGAGATAACAATACAACAATTTCCACATTGCAACAGTGTTACTACAACAAAGAGTTTGTTCTCTTTTAAATACTGTGAACGCAAAAGGTTTTCTCATCATAAGACGACTGATTTTTTTTAACCAATAGAGTCAAAAACAAAACATTGTTTAGTGTTTCTTACATTGACTGGTGGAGCTATTGGCATGGCTCCTCCTCCTCCTCCTCCATAGGCTGGCATGGATGGATTTGGTGATGGGACCTTTGGGTACCCTGGCATAGGTGCTGGTGCTCCTCCGTAACCAGGCATAGATGGGTTGGGTGATGGTGCACGGGGGTACCCAGGCATAGGCTGGCCGGGCTGACCAGGGTAGCCCATCGCTTGACCTTGCTGTTGGGGGGGCATGGTCCCTCCTGGCTGTGGGTACAGGCCATATGACTGTTGGTTAGGGAAGGGGGCACCATACCCGCCAGGTTGAGGGGCAGGTGGATACCCCCCAGGGGCTTGGGCGAACATGGACGGGTTTGGAATAAAACCCCCCATGCCTGAAGAGGTCTGGTTGGCCTGTGATTTGGAAAGATTGGCACTCCATAATTTGCGCACAGATTCTTGAAAGAATATTTTAAGCAAAGCACAGATAGCAGGTCACACCTTTTTTGGAGTTGACTTTTTTTGGGGGGAATTGGCCTTAATTTAAATCAGTATTTAACAAATGTCCAATTAACTGGCCCCTATGACAGATCAAACTTCAGAAGAGACACTGAAGTTGCTTGTTGTCTTTACGTTCTTCCAGATGCATGATGTACAAGTATCCAAAGAAAGTGTGGCCATGCTAATACAATGCAATTCCATATATCCGATAGCATAAATGAGAATATAACAGACAGGACGACGCATCAGGAAAGTAAAAGGGATAAATATTCATCAGAATGATAGGTTTAAGAAGGTTGGATAAGAATTAAGTACATGCCTGGTTTTCATGCAGAAGAACTAGAGAGAGAAGCTGACAAAGGAAATGGGAATGCTGAAGGTTTTAAGGATGCGTACTTTGTCTTACCGTAAACTGTAAGGATGTGATATTCCATTAAAGGCTGTGTAACTCATTCTAACTGGAATATTCAACGCAATAATCCGATGACAGTGCATTACACACACATATATAGAATTTTCTGGGTGCAGGTGATACTCTTAGACTAAACTTACCATGCCTCCATATCCAGGGTTGGATAAGTTGTCAAGACCAATGGAGGGATATCCACCAGCAGGGCCACCTCCCCAGCTGCCTGCAGCAGGGAACAAAGAATAAACTGTTTAGGGAAGTTGAGGAAGTATTGTTCCACGAAAACACATGCAAAAAATTGTCTGACAATAGCTAACTGAAACAGGAGTGACCCTTCTCACTGGAAGCTCCTTTTTCCTGCTTGTCAGCTACTTAACAAGTATGTGAAAGAGCTGTGGAGGGAGAATGGGAGCACTATGCGAAAGAAAGACTCTGGGACTTGCTTCTCTTAGCAACAGCCGAGATTTGTTTGTTTTTGAGGGAAAAAAATTCCAGTCCGCTAACTACAAGTCTCATGATCAGTATGGCCTGCAAACAGGATTTATCTGACTCATCCTTTCTATGATAGGATTAGAATACCCTGAGCACAACACGCTGTTTCACTTCAGTTTCATTTGCACGTGTTGCTTGATATTTTGTGAAATACTCAGTTACAGTCAGAGTTTAGCTAAAAGATCAATGCCACTCTTGCGTCAGTTGGGTAAATGACAAGCTATAGTCAGCAGTTTGTTATCTTGATTTCAAAGCATAAAGGCTGTGAATTAGGAACCAGCTACCCTGGCTCTGTTAAATGACAACAAAATCACCCTTCTAGCACTTAAATTAACTAACTAATTAATACATTATATCTTCGTTGTTTAATTCATTTAAAAAAATCTGACTGACAAGAAGACTTCAGACAGTCACTGTGCACTGGCAAGATATAGTAAAAACACAATGTCGTTTTTACACTACATTTTTTGTATGGATTAATCAAACAAGTTATGACATGTAACTCTGTGAGCTTCAGAATTCTTTACCTTTAGACAGAGCTATGCTACATATTCTCTGTACCTGCTTTCTGCTAAGCCTACCGAACTTGCTGGTAGTGGTAGTTCCTCATCCACCATAGAGTCTATAGATGTTCCTACAGAATGATTTTCCAGTCAATTAAATGGGAATTTAAATTTGGAATTGTCGACTAGTCTAAAAATAAGGAAAAATTTACCAAAACTTAACAATAACATTAAACATTGTGCAAAAAAGTAGATACATTGTGCAAGTAGATAATTAAAAGTCATTTGAAAACATGAATCACCATTTGCAACTGTGTTTTAAACACTGCAGACATGTAGCACTTTGTAGCATGCATATGAATACTGCACTATATCATACAACTACTCCTAAATAAATAGCACTTTTAACAGATGTCAACTGTCCTACTTTTCATTCTTGCTGGTTTGCAACATTGCTTATGTGAACAGTATGAATCTTCTCATCTAACTCTTAGTAGGACAGCAATAAGACCATGTCCAGAATGCTGACCCCTTCCTTTAATAGTGGTGATCCTTGGCTTACCTTGAGGTGGTGCCTGTGGGTAGCCTCCTGCTGGTGGATAGCCTCCAGGCTGTGAAGGATATCCTCCTTGTTGTGGTGGATAACCTCCAGGCTGTGGTGGATAGCCGCCAGGTTGAGGAGGGTAGCCGCTTGGCTGTGGTGGGTAGCCTCCTCCTGCTTGGGGTGGGTAAGCTCCAGGCTGGGGTGGGTAAGCACCTGGTTGTGGAGGGTAAGCCCCAGGCTGTGGTGGGTATCCGCCTGCCTGATGGGGGTATCCGGGGTAGCTCATTGCTGTGAACATAAAAAGAACAGTCAATCAGAGGGCTGCCTAACCGATTTAAAAAGAAAATCACATTAATATTCATCTTGTGGAGCCACCTCGGCAAAAATGCACCTTATCTGTTGGCAAACAACAGTTAAACAAAAGAAATACTCCTCTGACATCTTTAAGACATATTGAATGTGCTTCCATAGTTTAAACACACCCAGCTGTAAAACTGCTCCTCCTCATCTTTAACACTAGAGAGAACCCTTCACTGACTAAGACATGAGCAATGTGACTTTTTCAGTACAAGGGCATGTATATAGTAATCTGCTTTGACAAATGCAAATTTGAAATACAATAATTATATAGTCAGTTGTTAGATTTGGCACATAGCTTACTAGTCTGTTATATAGGTTCCTGTGTTGCATGAGTTCCTTGACTCATGGTGCAATACACTGTCTGCTGATTGTAAAAGCAAACAACAAACGGCCTATTACAGTCATCCCTAGTTTTAGTTCTGCAGCGTATTCACCGCGGTCTTTTCTTTTGAATAAAGCAATACAAGTGTCACTGTCACTAAAATCTAACGAAGGGCAGACTCTTCCATCCCGGGCTGTTGGCTCACAGACGTTGCTAGATGAGTGGTGGGGTGGTGAGGAAACTTTCATTTTGGTCAAGCCTAGTATAAAAAGCCTGTGTCCCAGTAGGCCTGCTTGTTCCATGGTAAAACTGACTCCAGTGGACTTAAATGGAACAGCCCTTGTTGCTTTGCATTTTATTAATAGAAAAAAGACGATACTGTATTTGGATATGTGCACAGAACAGATAAGATACCCTGGGAATACAGAGTGAACACATCAGTTGTGTTATAACTTAGTTTTAGTTTCTTTGGTGAGAGTTATTAAAACCACAATGGCTGAAATACGTTCAACCTTTCATCCAGTACACTTCCCCTTCATGGCCTGCGGCTGATGTCCAGCTCCAGACCACTGGTGCTGAGTCAAAGTGCTGTTGTAACATCCTTCATTAAAAGAATTACTACAAATGTGGCTTGCCTTATTTAGAGACAATTTGTTCAGGTTCAAACATATCACATGTTTCATTCTCCAAAGGTGCTAAACATGTCACATCCAACCACTTTCACACTTCAAAGTGTGAGGAACAGCAGCCGGACAAACCCACACAGCATACTGCAACCACTGCACCACTGTATTTGCTCAGGGAGCTGGGCTGCTTGTAAAGATCATTTCAGGGTCATAAAAGAGAAAGAACCTATTGATAAAGTAACTGCAACCTCCATAGTTACTATAAAACTGTTGCTATTAGCACATTTTGTGTCAGCCCACTCTATTTATAACTTATAATGAATGCTAGGTCGGCTAAATACATATCATTACCAATGAGTTTACTTTGGCAAGTGGACTCTATACTAAACAGATTATGGAAACGGACTATTAGCTTATGAGTCGAGCTAAAGTTTTACTTCAGAAAGAGGGCTAGCTTACTTGAAGTACAAGGCTGCTTCAGGCCTGTACAAACCTCTATTGGAAACGAGTGGAGTTACCTCCCAACACAATTTACATAATGTAGCTCCAGCTACTTCGTAAACTGAACCTTACACTTCGCCGTATCGAAGCTAGTTAGCACTAAAAAAACCGAACAAAAGCCTCACCGAGACCGAAACTAGCATTTTATAGCCGTACGTGGCTGAGCTAAATGTACTAAAGACTGTAAAACAGCGTTGGCAGGCCAGCTAACGTCAACGTCGAGGAGCAGAGTAACGATGAACAACAAAACGACTGCAAAAAAACACCAACAACACATCTAAATGGGGCTAATTCAAAACGTCTACTAGGGTATGCTGTATTGTTTTAATAGTTGTTAGCTTTTAGCACTTACTTTTTTTTTTATTTAGCGTGTAGCAGTCTCTTCCTGGTGGACGTATTCCTTTGGACAGTCTCCGTATTGACTGTATTTAAGTGGTGTGGGTGGGACTCAGAGTTTCCATTTAGGGAACCCACCCATTTCCAGTGACAGACAGCCTGTTCTGTGACAACAGCCATAAACAGACACCGGCCACTGCAACTCATTCACACACCTGAGCATTAGTGCCATAATGGAAACTGTGACAGACACACGTCACCATATACTTTACAATAGGTGTATGACATGGCAGGTGTGCTTCCTTGTACAAACATCTTAATCAAGTTTTAAAGTAAGTACGTAGAAGAAGAAAAAGAAGAAGAAGAAGAGTTATAAGATTTTTTTTTTTAAAAAGTAAATACTATTTTCTGAAACGTACTTTATTGTATACTACATACATACGTGTGTGCCTTAAACTTAGAGAAGGCAACTTAAATCTAAAAATTTAGACTAAAAAAGAAAAGAAAAAGCAATTATTTATTCAATTTTATTTAATTGTGTGTGTATATATTTCATGATATACGTCCTATATATTTACACATATGTGAAGACCATGTATCCATGTATAATATGGCATTCTTGAGTTCGCAATAATTCAATTCAATTCAAATAACTTTATTTATCCACTAGGGGCAAATCAAAAGCTCACTGAGTATTTAATATAAAGACATATAAAACAAAAAACAAAACAATAAACCATATCATAAATATCACATTACATGGGCTGAATTTTGGAGAGTCAGGGGACATGAAATAATATGTATATAATATAATATTATATGTAATATAATTCCTATAATTGGACATCTTTGAAACACATATGAACAAAAACAATCATTAATTTTGGTTCTTTCATAGATTTATTATAGGTCTTCTGGAAAAATGACAAATCTTTTTTCCGTCCTATAAAATTAGGAGTTATGAGGGTCATTGGAAACTCAAGACTGCCTTGATGATGGGGTTTACAACTGTGTGTAAAGCCTTGTATATGCCCCTACATTACCATTAAAATGGGTTTATGAAACTTATGAAATGAAACTTGTGTTAACTTATGTATTTACACTTTGTGATGATAGTTTGAGGTATGAAAATAAAATAGACTAGCTTTATTTTCATTATACATGGGGGCATGACAAAAATATAAGTATCTGCCTCTGGGCGGGGCATTGAACAAGCTAAATTAACAACCATAAATAATTTAATCAAATGTACATATAAAACAAGACTGTATTAAGGATTCCAACATATACAAAAGAGGCAAGATATATACAGTACAGTGAGGAGGTAATGAGATCAAATAAAAACCAATAAAACAGAATAAATATGGGCAGGAGATTGCACGTAAGCAGCATTATTAAAAGTGACACTGTGCGTTATTGTTTTGAGTTCAGAAGTGTGATGGACCATGGGTAAAAACTGATTCTCAGCCTGTTTGTCCTTTGTTCACACAGACATACGACTATAACAAAGGTGTGTTCTGCATGAAACAGAGCACAGTGAAGACAGCTCTGGCTATGTGAGATAAGTCTGGATCTGTCCATGCAAGCACATAAACTGAATGTGTCACACTATGATAATGGTTACCAACAAGGAAGTGCATGTGTGTGTCTATGAAGGGAATGTACCACAAGAGGGAGCCATTTTTAAAGTTTTCACCATGCTATACTTCCCTTGTCTGCCACCTTCAGGTTCACTGGAGGCTGTGAGAGGCCTGGGCTGCTCTAAAGAGTTTATTGATTGCTTAACTGTTGAACTCAATGTTCTGTGCTACTCTAGATCCATCCATCTTATTGCACACATGAATATATATATAAATGATCAGATAGGCCTCAAGATGAACAGGAATGAATGGGAAAGTCCAAAAATAAATGAATGAGCAACTCACCTGTGGATAAGCAAAACATTTTACAAGTAATAAATATCATTATATGGCTCAGTTAATTTATTTAATTTAGCAATTTGTGTTGCAGAATAACCTTATGGGGAATTATTGGGGTCTGGGGACATAAATGAATATTCACATAAAACGGGCGCTGATTGGCTGGACGTCCCCTGTGACGTAGCGCTCACTTCATTACATATTCAAAGAGCGTCTGTCTGCCCCGCTGCAATAAAGGCAGATAGCGGACCATGGGGAGCAGGGGAAAACTTTCTATACTGACATGTTAGCGCAATGACTTTTTGAGTAACATCTAACTGGGACGAGGCTCCCGGCGTGAGGAGGACAGGGCCCCTTTTACGGGAAGAATTTAAAAAAAAAAAAAAAAAAAAAAAAAAAAAGGAGCACTTGCCATCTGCCGGGGGAACGAAAAAAGCAAAGACGGTTAAAAGAGTTGAGAGCAGTCCAACAAACAGCGGTGGAAAATCCAGTTTGAGTTGAAAGATGAGCTTGTTGTCTGCCATAGACACGAGTGCCTCCGTGTACCAGCCTGCGCAACTTCTCAACTGGGTCTATCTTTCATTACAAGACCCTCACCAGACCAGCGCCTTTGACGCGTTCAGACCCGAACCCAACTCTTCCCACCCGGATCTCAGCTTCAGCAAGACTCCCGCAGCGACGGACCTGAGCTCTTCCCTGAACTCCAACTATCTCAACAACTTCTTTCAGCTGCAGCGAAATGAGGTGAAAGATGGCATTGCTTGCGTGTTGCAAATCTGGGATGTTTGGGATTGTGATTGTGGTTAAAGTTACCAGAGTGAGAAACCGAGTTGTTGGATTGTGAGCGAGTAAAAATATTTTTTTTAATGTGCAACATGGGCTGATTCTGGTGGGATATAGCCTGCATGACCCGCCATGATATTTCTAATATGGAGAATAACTTCCTAGTAGTCTTATTACATACATGTCATGGAGGATTATATGTCACTCATATCAGAGCATTTATTTTTATTACTGTTATAAGTTGGTATTATTATAGTATAACACTGCACAATTGGAAGTCCTAACAAATGTCAGAGATGCTCAGTAAATATGTAGTGTCACAATGTCAATGTCACTTATGAGTATTTCAGATGTACTCTACCTGCAGGAGTGTTATAGGATTGTTTGGGAATTTTTAAAGTAATTCTATAAAAGTTTACTTCCTCAAGTTGGGATCTGACTAGAATCTAGCTAAATATCACAACCAGCTTCCTAACTATAGTCACTTTAGGTCTCCTTTTACCCACTTACAAGTGAGTCTCGGCATATTGATAAGTTACAGTTCAGGTGATCTGAGCAAAAAAAAAAAAAAAGCTTTGATCAGACATGCCTGTGATCAGAGAGGCAACAGATGGAAATAGATTCCCCTGCACGCCTCTGCCTGGAGAAAGCGGGTCACTGCAGCCCCTTGCTGAGGTCTGCTGTCTCCTGGCTTCTTCAAATAGACCAGGTTGTGCAAACACAAATCAATCCTTGTTTACATATTGTCTATTTTTGTAGCTCAGAGTAATTTTAAGGGACAAACATGCTGCTAATGTGTGCAGGGTGCAAATCTGATACTCCGGACCACACTGTGTGCAAAAAGGACCCCACCACCACACCCCTAAACCTCAGGCCTCAACACACACTCACATACATGCAGCATGCACAGAGAAAAAAAAAATGGTCACATTCTGTGGGCAAAGTGGTAAAAATATATATCTATATACAGCAAACTGTGTTGATTGCACTGCAGTCGAGTTTCTCAGATCTACATTATGATGAGGCTGGAAACTAGTGGATGTTGTGTTCACCAGTGTTCATTATTATGTTGGTGGGAACCAAAGAGGCCTTTTGAAGTTATTTAACACCAAGAGTCATCTAAAAAAAATCGGGTGTGCACATTATACATTACAGTGTGTAATGCCATTCAGGCCATATGAGCAGAAAGACTTTCAGACTGCAGGAACACACATATAGTCTGGAAACGGTTTAAGGGGTGGGGGGATTTTGCAACTTACTATGCTGGTGAAGCCAAGTAAAATAAACCACTGCAGAGATTTGATGATGAGATGAGTAATGCAAAATGTGGTTGTTTTTGCAGTGAAGGATCACACAACAGTCGACTTAAATCGAATTGGTGATAAATTAGTGAACTTGTTGTTGATTGGGAACTCACTAGGGGCCCGAATCTAGTATTACAGTTTCATCTGCTAACAGTTTAAATTGTTTAAATGTTTGTTAACTTTTCTTTCTCATTATCTAGTTTTTGGCCAAGAAGACAAGTATTTTAATGGGCCTTCTGAACAATTCTGGATAAAATTAAACAATACAGTACTTTCCAGGAAAAACTGTTCCAGCTCATATCAGTCATCTTTAAGTTTCCGCCACGTACCACAAACCTGCATGTTGGTGTTTGAGTGGCAACACATCCCTGGAGCTATGGAAACAGTCACAGATGTGCTACACTTGTCCAACTCACTTGGATGCGCAGTGACTGGTAATAATGATAGTTTAGTCCTTCCATCTATTGCTACATACTTAAACACACAACCTCCCGAGGAGTCAGTCAGTCGGTCAATCACTCACTCACTCTCTCACTCCTTCACACACACAGACACACAAAATAAACAAACACTCTCACCCCGCCATTAGCAGATGTGTGTGAAATCTGTTTCCTTTGGGCTGACAGTAGGAGGTTTGAGGCCAAACCGAAGAAACGGGAGGAACAATCTGCGCTAAAACTTAAGTTTAGACAAACACACAAACATGTACATTTCCAGCAGGAGTGCTAATGCATAACGCAGTAATACGCCGAGCTGAAACACATGGCAGATGGAAAACTCTGAGAAACTGCAGAGCTGTAATGCATGATTTACAACGACTGCATGTAATAAATGAACATGAGTCTCGAAGCTGGAGCTGGTTAGCAAGACAATCTCACAGCCTTCAGATAAAGATTTGGCTTCCAGTACCGGCCAGGTTGCCAAGTCTTAAGGTTTCAGTGCTTTGCAACATTAAACATCAGCAGTAACATCACTTCCCAGACACAAACGTGTGTCCCACAATGATGCATGGCCGTCAGGGATGATGAAGAGTTTATCTGTGGATTTCATCATGTCTACGCACTTGCTGACGTTTTTACTTGAGGGTGGCGTCTCAAACATTTGTCATTAGTTTCCTATTAGTGCAGCTAAACTATTCAATTTCAAAGCAGATGCCCAGCTACACTCTTAGCAACTTTTCCACAAGCTTAATTACCTGTGTGGTCATAAAAATGTCATCGGCATCATTTCAAGCAGAGGCCAGTTCCTGTCTGTCCTCTCTGGATTGTATTTAAGCAGAGGAAGACATGAATGAGAAGGGAAATAAGGAACTGCAGGCAATGCATTCCCTGTTATTAATATTCAGAGGGCATCTTCTATGAATTCACTGGGCCCTGTGGCATGCAACACTGCGTTCTGTGGCTCCGAGCAGACTGCAAACTCGGACCATGGCTAGTTTACCACCAACAGTGCATGGTGACATTGCTGATGTTCCACAGGCTGGCGAGGGAACATGCCTCCCATCTTGTTTACAATGAGTCATCCTTTGTAAAGTCCTGTCTTTTTCTCTGTGGACATGCTCAGTACTTTTCCAGTTCATGAGCACAGCTGGGCCTCTCGCCAGATGTTCTGAATTTAATGAGAGAAATGATCTTGGAAGGTTTTTTTTTTTTTCTTCATTTTTTTTTTTTTTGCACAACAGAAAATAGGACAGAGAGCCCATAAAGGAAATTGATGATTAATCTAAGAACTTTTACTTTCTGCTGAGAATCTGAATGTCATGTTAAAGCGGAACCGTGTCTGATATCTTCTTGCAGGCCTTAAACAACAACGTGTATAAGAATGTGTCGCCCTATGGCTCCCTGAACAACATTGTGGATGGACTCAACTCCCTGACGGACCATTTCTCAGACCTTTCCCTTTCTTCAGAGCCAAGGAAACCCAACAAAAGACCCCCACCCAACTATTTGTGCCACCTGTGCTTCAACAAGGGCCATTACATCAAAGACTGCCCTCAGGTGAGACTTGTAGCACACATATATTACATAATGCAGTCAATTACCTGATTCTTTATCTGATACAACAAGTGAGTGACTTGTGTTGTGCTTGCTTCAGCCTCTCTCTTTCCCTCTCTCTCTCTCGCTCTCTCTCTCCCTCTTTTTGGATCTGGTCTGACCTACTTGTTAAACAGGCTGGCCTCTGTCTTCCGCAGTCATGTGCGTGTGTGTCTATATGTGGACTTGTGTGCATCTTAACTGCCAAAGCATTACGCTACAACAAACTATATGTTAGAGCCATGATAAATGAGCTTTTTGAGCTTTCTCAGATTTCCAGGTCAAAGGTGAAACTGCCTGCGTTTGCATCAGATCATCATCTCAGCTGCGTTAGCGTGATTCCAAGAATCAAAAACCACGAGCAAACACTACAGGTGCCGTTTTTTACCGACATGTAGCTCAAGATGTTACATTCATTTCTCGTAGTTGCAGTTACATTCCTCTGCCTCACAGTTTCCCACTGCTTCAGCCTGTTGTGATGCAGCCTTTTTTTTGTGAAGCACCATGGCAAATCCACCTTGAGGTCTAGAATGGAGGTTGCAGCGCACTAATGTGTGACTAATGGCGACCCAGCTGTTGTCATCACCCCGAAATGTGAACTCATCTGGGAAAGCTAAAAAGGGAATTTTAGGTTTCAAGTAATCCCTGCCAATATGCTTTAAATAATCAGCCATGGCAGAATTGTTTTGTTTTTTTTTTAACATAAGACATTAGTTGCTACTCTTGATACTACAGACATGTCATATACCACAGCATGCCAAATACTGTGTTCATTTACAGCAACAATAGCATAAGTTAAGCAATATTTTGTAGCTTGCAGGCGCTTTTGAAACTGCTATGGTAGATCTGTCAATGTGATGTTGCATAGCACCTTGTAAAAAAACTCCATGGCTGGGACTGCAAGTGATCCGATTTCAGACGGGCAACACAATGGCATTTTCCCCTCGAAATTGTGGAATTTTTTACACAGAGTTGCTTTTTGTTGGACTCGGGGTGCCTAATAATCTCCCGTCCCTCCTTTGCCTCTCCCTTTTGTCTTCTCTCCCTTTCCCTGGGTGAGGTGCGATAGCCGAACCCCAGCCCCTAAGTTTCTTTTGCATGGAATGGTAACGAGGAGCAGATGTGAGATTAAAATGCTTTGACTTGCTTTATGACATATGATGACTGGTCTCATGAGGCCTGTAAAAGACCCGTGTACTGATGAAATATCTCCTGGACAGCTCCAAACTGCAGAGTGTGGGAATTAGATCATCTATTGACAACTCTAGCGGGAATTTGGAATTGTAGTATATCAGGCAACATGTAGCTTTCGCCTTCATTTTTCCCCTTTAAGTAACGCTGTACCTGTTGATGTGAGCGTTGATTAAACGGTTCTGATATTCAACTCTGAAGCAGGTGTACGTTAAGTAATGCACAACTCGGTGTTTTATTTCTAAAACCACATGCCTTGTACGTTAAATTCCACTCTATTACTTTAAAACAAAAAGGCTCAAATGTTGCTTTATTAAACATTCGAGAGCAGACGCTGTGAAATGAATCTTTCTATAGGGTTGAGCATTCCGTTGTGTTTGTCAAAATCACCCTCAGCCGTCCTCTGGTTTGTATTTCAGCTGTTCGTTAAACTGCCAACAGTAACTCAAAAAGCAGCAAAGTCTCCAGACGGCCTCCACACCTACACAGTTCAACACCATCTCACTTATTTAGGTCTCTCCTGGGCTTGTTTCTCCATAAATTCACCTTCCATTTGTGCTACAGCGTTTCCACTATTGCCCAGTCACCTGTCATTGCGTGCCTAGCCGAGGATAGTTCAGCCTCGCTCGACCGGCTCGAGACCCTAATAACAGATGTGACGCACGGCTTGCAATAAAAAGCGCAGGTTTTTAAAGGAAATAGGCTTTGACATACTGATAAGCCATTTTCCGAAGACTATTTTCATTAGTCTGTTTCACAATGTGCAGTGATTAGTTGTGTGTCTGTGTAGTTTAGTGTGCCTCCACTAATAGTTTGTCCTGTCCAGAGATGCTTTGCCAATGAAAATAGAGGATCCTGCTTTGCAGAGTGCTGCTAAGTTTGTCATCCTGGTCCAGCATGGAGCATCACATTCTGATGACATGTACAGTCTGTCTCTACTTCACTTCAGCATGTTTTATTGTGTTGTTTTGAGCTGTGGCTTTTATCACTCAGTGGGAAAGTGTTACTTTTATAAATCAAGTGACTATTGCCACACTTCCTTACACTGATTGCTCTGTGCTTTCTATTGCTGCTCAGAGTTAAGTCCTTACAAAGCTGACTTACCAAAGTGCTAATGCATTACTTTAGATGTGAGATTTTTTTTGTAACATGTTAACATTGGAAGCACATAGAAGAGCCTTGTGGCTGTACTGAGAGAATTATTTTTCAGGGAACTCTTGTAGTTGAGTGAAAGCCACAGGCCTGGCAGCAGCTGCCCAGTGCTCCCTGTCATGGGGACAGAGGTGTTATGTAAACTGGCTTTTATTCGGAAAATGAGGTCGCTCCCCTAGTTATGAGCAGAATGCCTCTCACTGCCACGCTTTGGCCCCTTTCCAAGATGTCTTCCACTTGCACTCATGATTTGGTTTCGTTCTGAGGACTAATCCTCTCAACAGCTGGCCCCACCTCTGATTTTAGCGATCAAAATGATGCACTGAATGACATCTTCTTGCTATGTCTCCCTGTAGAAAGATTAACTCATGGAAAATGTCTTTGCCGCAATGCAGGTTTGTGGGTATGTGGGGGTGGCTGCTGCTGCTGTGTGTGTTTTTTGCGTGTCTTTGAGCTACAGTGAATTCCTAAGTTACAATTCCCCATTCCCAGTCATAATGCGATCCTCTGATTCAGACCTGGAGAATTATAGTTTCCTGGACGTGTTTGTTTATTTATTCTGAGAAATTTAAGTTTTGGTGTTTTGTTTTTTTTAACTGGTAGAAACCACAAAACTGCAGTTGCCAATCTTTCATATGACCAAATCAAAATGACCAAAGCTGAACTTTTGGAGAAAATGTTATGCTCTGATAGGGGTGTGTTCATATTCACATCAGCTGATTGAGGAAATTTTGTTTTTTGGGCCTTTTACGCAACAGATTTTTAATTTTAGGAAATGCTTTTGTTTTCTTTTAATGGGATACATGAGAACATTCATACCGTCTCATATTTGTCCATTATATATAAGGCCTCAGCCAGCAGCTGGTTAGCTTAGCATAGCAGGGAAACAGCCAGCCTGCTCTGTCCAAAAATAACAAAATCTGCCCCCCAGCACCCACTTGTAAAACACTAACCTGCCCTTTTTACACTTGATCCCAGTCTTTGTGCTAAGCTAAGCTAACCAGTTGTTCCTTGTGGCCACACAGTTACTGGACGGATGTAAGACTGGTATTCCTCTTTTCATGCAACTCTCTGCAAGAAAGCTAATATGCATATTTTCTTTTGCCCCAAGCCTCACTGTAATGAAAGAGGGAAAAAAATCCCTCTATAAGCTACCTCCTTTAGATGAATCTGCAGATCTTTCATTGCTTAGATTGCATAGATAGAGTTATAAAAGTCTGTGATGACGTACAGATTTGTATTTCTTGTCCTGCTGTGAGACAAACTGAATTTATTTTACATACATTAAACCAGCGACGACACTTTAACATGGAATGTTCTACGCGTATCAATGTGCAAAAATAACAGGGTGGGCAGATAGAAGAGTCATGCCAAGACCATCACAGTCACTGTGTTGATCAGAAACACATGGAGCCCATTGATCCGCATACAGAGGCTTCTTTATCACACCAGTATAATGCACCTTTTGTTCAGTTTGTTATGGAGCCAGTGGAATGTGTACACATATATATACACATAACATTAATTTCAATGTTTATTTCCTTTATATTATGCTCCTGTTTTTTTTTAGTTCTGACTAAAATGTGATACGAGTATGTAACTGAATCATTCCAGTTACCTAAGCGTGCAAAATGAATGAGGATGACTTTCAAAAGGATGCCCTGTTTCACTTTCATCCATACAAGTGCTACATTTCCTCTCATCCAGACCCCTGTCAGTCAGCCAGTCAGTCAAAAGCCTACGACTGTGCCGTGCCTGAAACTTCCCAAGCATGTATCTGATCTGTATCTGTAACCATATGCCTGTTGCTGTGACGGTCCTCACACCTCGTGCGGTGTTAATTTCAGCAGCAGTCTGTCCTTTGTGACAAATGGTCACCATAATCTCCCATAACAGTGTCAACACGGAGACCTGAGGCGAGCTGTGAAGTGAGGCCCTCTTCACACCAGAGGCGAATCGCACTTTGAGTAATGTGCGACTTGCCAAAATGTGTGCTTTTCCTTTGGAAGCGGTGTTAAACTTAATGACTTGTCATTACTGCGGCCCATTTTGTCTACCATAACAAACAGCGGCGGTAGTTGTTTTGGCAAAACGTATTTGCTTTTACATTTTCCAGCCTTTGACTGAGCAGTGATCCTCTTCCAAATTGGTTGGTGGTCATGCTGGGATAATTGTGCCGTGACTTTGTTTTCATGTTTCTGTCTGTTGTTGCACTGGGACATGGTAGTGAAGTAGGAGGAAGGGGGGAGAATGTGTCAAAAACACATAGCAAGTTTCTAATTTACCATGTGTTACATCACTGCACAGCGCTCCGAGTCTGTCTGCTTCATTCTAGGAAAGCAAATATTTTAGCTCTGTGTGGGCACGCCCAGTAACTGTAATGTTAAAGTCTTAACTAAATCAGATTTAGGTCTGTCATGGTCATGCACTTTCTCTGCCTTTTCTTTAACATATGTATTCTGAGCCAGATCTTGGAGGCAAGTTTACTGTGCCAGGATATTAAGTCTGGTCCTCTTTGGGGTGTATTTAACTGAGATTAAAAACTTTGGAGAATATGCTTTGCTTATAAATGAAGATAATCACATTAATCAAAATGAAAATGCTCGGAGGATACTAGCAGC